GTGTTTGGGGGAGTGTGTCCTTGTGGTCCTTTCCATAGGCGGTGCCTGATCAAAGAAGCGTAATATGAGCTCCTCCTAACGGGGCCCGGGCTACCACAAATCCTCTCTTCATAGAATTAAAAATTCAGCAGAAACAATTACCGTGGAACCTCGGTATAACGAAGGGCCAAGAGACTGTGACTGGCAAAATTTGTTCGCTATAACGAGGTTTTGTTATATCGAGGTTCTTTTTCATACATTTTATTGTCACTGCCGGGGTAAAGAAAATTGTTCGTTATACTGCTGACTTCGTTATGTAAAGGTTCGTTAAATGGCGGTTCCACCAGCTGATGCTCAGGGAAGACCAGACGGCTTCATAATTCGGAGGTGGAAATGGGAGTGGTCGAAAAATGTTACATTTTCAGAAGGGAGATTGGGTACGCGACACGTGAAGGGCACCTTCACCGAATCCTCTTCCGCCTTTTTACACACCCCCACCCCCCTCCTCCTTTTTCCCGGTTGAAAGCCTTTCACACAGACTACTCCTAGACCATCCCAGGGGCAGTTAGTCGGGACAATAGAATGTTTGCGGTGAAAGTTACTGTAAGATCGATCTTACAGAAAACTTTCACCACAAACATTCTATCGTCCTAACTAGCTGCCCCTGGGTCTCCGAGGATGCTCCTAGCTAGACGGACGTGTAGTGTCAAGAGTGTCCCTCTTAGACTTAGAGAAAGTTGACTGGGAACATACGTTTTTTTTCAGTTCTGTGTTTACAACCGGAGCTAAAGAGGAATAAATATTATGGAATAAGCTAGAATAACCTACCCGTAACTTTTCAGCGGAACGACGCCATGATGTTCCCTTTTTTATCCTTTTTCCTGGAAATGATGGAACAAGTATTTCCTCATTGCCCAGAAGGTAGATTTTCCGAACGAAATAATAATGAATTTTTTACCTTTAACTGATTAAACGGACCAACGAATTTTTTTTTCTGGGCTGGAACAATCCGACAAAGAAGAGGAAAGTTGACGATGCAGATGACCACACAAAATGTTCAATAGCCTGACTGTCAACCTGTTCAGTTACATCGTACAAGACAATTTTTCTTACTATGCGGAAATGTCGGTTTACTAGTAGAACATTGACCGGAAACCACATATTTTAACGTAAACTACCAAAAAAACTAGCCTCTGTAACTAAGTAACGTATTTATTCCAAAGGCACGTCCTTTAAAATTGAGCTTCAGAAAAATTCGCCAACATACAAATTGAACGAGGTGAAACAATAACAAAGGTTTGAGAATGCGTTAAACAAGGGTTTAAAGGTTCTTCTTCGGTCACGTTTATTGAGTCACACCACATGTGGTAAGTCACGTGACCAGAACATAAAAAAAAAGGACTCTTTAAAACCCAAACGTCTTGCATCTTTCACAATTCTCGGTTTTCACATGACGTCACTAAAATTCAAACTAAGAAACGATCGATTCTTCTGAGTTTCTGAGTTTCATGAAGTATTACAGCACCTAAACACCTTTATTTAAAGAGAGTTTTGGTTCGAAAGGGTTCTTCGTTTTGCGATAGAGGACGTTTGAATTTCTAGGCTTTTGCGTGACGCGGCATTTAGCTGGCGGCCACAACGGCTCTTATGTGGGTTACAAACATTACCAGTTTTGGGAGATTTTGCTGTCTAAACATTCCTTGTCTCAGAATAAATATCACTTTAATATTTTATGAGTTTTTCAAGCGATGAATTAACGCATTAGTACGAAAACTCAAAAACAGATGTTTCTGTTGGTTTCCGGCGGCCATATTTGTGCCCCGCAAAGGGACACAAACATGGCGTCTCCATACAAAGCTTTCTAAATTTTGGTAAAACGTTTTTCCTAATATCTCACATATGAAATATCGCACAGACCTGATTCTTGGCGAGGCCTTTTGCTTATTTATCTTCTTCTATTTCCTAGATTCGGGACTTTCTGTATTGAATGGTTTGCAATTTTATTTTTGATTGCGTGACAGTGAAAACCGAGAATAAAAGCGATGCCAATGGCTTAAGAATATCGCAATAAAAAATCTGACTTACTAACAAGTTTAACGTTCGTTCTCAAAATTCACATTTATCGAAAAAGCTATGATGTCATTGAGGGGTATTTTCATACATTTTCTTTAACAGACTTTCTTGCTTTCGTCTGAACGCTAATTTCATGCTACAGCTGTTAAAAAAAGTCAAATTGCTTATGATTCGCCAAAAAATGGATTCTCTTTCCTTTGAACTTTTGCGCTTTTTCATTTCTAAAGCGGGATTGGGGACTGGCAATAGTTGCGCATGTGTAATGTCCATTTAGTGTTGTCTTATCTTCAGTTTCACGGTTCCCACCATGTCAGCGCTTTAAGACACGTGAGAAATAGTAACAAATAACATAACTTACCTTAAAAAAACATGAAAAAGATGAAGGCAGATAACAAAACGATATTGAAAGGAGAGCGAGGATAGCGAAGACTCGTGCCAAATAGCCAAAAGCCGCTGTCACAGCGTTTTGGGCATCCCCGCGTTTTGGGCATCCCCATTCCCATATCCCTAGCGTTTTGGGCATCCCCGGTGGGGGATGCCCAAAACGCTGATGACTTCGACTTTGCCTAAATTATTTCAGACTGGGGAAAAGTCGGGATTGTTAATCACGAATTTACGGCTAAATAGTGTAGATGCATGCTAGAATTATATCGTCTGACACTCTAGCTTCGCTGGGTTAGTTGCGCAGAATAAAAACCCATAGGCAGTAAACGTTGGCTCAAAACATGACGAAACTGAAAATTTACAACCACATAACTGTAAACATCGCTTCGATGTACAACACTTCATTGTTTGCAAAGCTTTCAATTTTATTTAATAGAACTGTTTACAAGCGAGCAATGCCGCAATCGCCAGCAGCTGCGATCGTCTGCTTCCAAACAGCCAAAAACAAGAATACTAAACAAAGGAATCAAAAGGTAAACATGAATAAAACTGGGTTTTGCGGTGTTGCATTCATAGTATTCATGACATGTGAGGCCTGTACAACTTAACCCCGCAGCGCTACTTGATACAGGAAAGGCTGTCACACAATTACAGAGGCCTCAAATCATCAGAAATAACCGGAGGTGGGGTGACAATTCCCCCCCAAAAAAACCTGCAGTGCAAGGGAACGGCATGCCTAGAAAAAAGTCCTGTAGTTAGGTAGTTATGATAAATGGACGCTCCAATGATGGTCACTAGAAGAGATGTTGTGCTTGGCGCACGGGCGTGACAGCCGGCGTGACATAAATGGATGTTCAAGGCCACACTTAGGTCAACTGACAAAAAAACCTGTCATCTTGACCCTTCAGAAATATAACTTCTGATCTTTGGCTTCACATAAAATAATAACAAACGGGATCTATAAGAAGGACTCCGGTTTACAATGCCCTTTGACAACGTACCAAAAGATGCAATTATGCCTCACCCTTTCAAAGAGCACTGAAAACAGAAGAAATTTAGCGTATGTTTTCGATTATCAACCCGGATGTTTTAAATACACGATCAATTGGCAAATAAATAACATTTGTAACTACACTGTAACCATTTCTATCGTGTCCTTGTAGTAGTCAGGCCAGTAAAACCGCTCTTTGATTTTCCTCAGAGTCTTATCGCGGCCGGCGTGTCCAGAAAAAGGAGCAGAGTGGCACTCTTCGAAGACCCTCGCTTTATCTTCCTCGGCGATAACAAGACGTCGAAGAGCTGTGCCATCCTTCTCCTTGGTCACGTAGAACAAGGACTCTAATTTTGAGTCATACTCAAACTTTTTGGCGAATTTTCTAAGAATTGTTTTGTCCTGCTTTGTAAAGCCTTCCGGATAAACCTTATTTTTAAGATACCGGAACAGATTTGTATATTTAGCGGCATCCATCTCTAAAAGGTTTTCGATTTTCCCGCGAAATCCCAAATTGTTTTGGAGGGGATGTCCAAAACGCTAGGGATTTGGGCATCCCGGGAGGGTACCGGGGGATGCCCAAAACGCTGCAGTAATATGAGAAGGGGATACCCAAAACGCTAGGGATATGGGAATGGGGATGCCAAAACGCGGGGATGCCCAAAACGCTGTGCCGCCAAAAGCCGAAGAAAGGAAAATAGACTGGGAACTAACATCTGTCTCGCATGGCTCACATGATGACTCGCATGACTCGCATGACTCGCAGTTTGTCAAGACCCCAAATTAAAGCGAGGAGCAAAACATGAGAAGACGGAACTGAGAAAAAGAATCAAACCATCCTCCAATCACATTTAGCTATCTTTGTTTTGTATTAATTCTTTGTTGTAAGGAAAAATCCAGGATGTTACTTTGGACTGCTTTGGAGACTTGATTTAAAACGAGATTTCCCGGAAGAAGTCTTCAGCTTCGTAGTCTGGCAACAATGCTGTCCAATCGAGAAGGCTTATTAGGAATTGTAGCCGGGGAGCAAAGCTTCAAATCTTCGAAATGAGTTGTGCAGGAGCACAGGAAGAATCTCTGGAATCTCATGTCATAGAATTGGTGTTGAAAAAGGAGATAGGCAAAGGGTCTTATGGCAAAGTCTATGAAGCTGTGTGGAAGGGACGCGACGTTGCAGCGAAAAGGTTTCACTCTGTATTCTTCCAAAATAGCTCCTGCCTGCAAGAACACTTTATGGAGGAATTTCAGCGAGAATGGAACATTCTAAAGCTTCTCGAACACCCCAATGTGGTGAAACTACACACTGTTTTATTTCCTAAAGGACTCTCACCAATAGTAATCACTGAATTACTTCACTGTGACCTGGAAAAGTACATTAGAGAGTCCACAACCACACCAAAAATCCCTGAAATGAAACTGATTTGCATCGCTTTAGATGTAATCGAAGGTCTTAATTACATGCATGGCTTGGAGCGTCCTGTTGTGCATCGTGACTTAGCAACAAAAAATATATTGTTAACAGAGCATGGTAATGCCAAGATTGCAGATTTGGGGAAGGCCAAAATATTTGAAGCAGGCTGTGAAATGCATGCCACCAATGTTCCAGGAACACCGCTATATGCAGCTCCTGAAACATACCCTGTTATGAAGCAGTTTGAGGTGGTAGCAAATGCAAAGTATGGTCCAAAAGTTGATATATTTTCTTTTGGTTTAGTGGTTATGGCTATGATTGTTGGACATGAACCAAGAGTGTGGCCGTTAACTCCAATCACCAAAGGTATGTTTTGATGTGAGAATTAGGGAGCTTAAGCAATGACAATGGAGACGGCAACAAGAAAGGCAAATGAGCAATGGGTTTGTATAAGCAAAACAACAGCTTTGCACATGCATCATGTTTTTATGTAGATTATGTGGTTCCAGAAAATATTCATACCCCCCCATGGAGATAATTTCACTTAGGACCCCCAACTTCCCTGGATTTTCTATATTTGTAAGGAACTGATAACCCCCCAGCCTCCGGAATTTCCCCAAAGACAAAGACCCCCATGAACCCCTCTGGAAAAGTTTATTTTCACAAAAAAAGATCATCAAAGTAAAGAACGACGCTGTTTGTGGTTACGCAATGGTTTTCATGTAATATTATGGAGGGGTCTCGAATTAAAACACAGTAAACTACCTACAAAGCAACCTAAACTAAAAAATATTGCTTATCCCTTTAAGTGAAAGATATAAAGTTGTATCTGTCAGTTTACCTTGATGTGCAAGCTCACGATTCTTTTTTCCAAACGGTGGCTAACTGTCTCTTTGGCAGTAATGTTGATGGAATTAATGCCACTTCAGCGTGAATACAATCGTGAACCTGTCAAACTTTCAATCACAAAATTTAAAGAAAACAAAAAGGAGAATAAAAACTCTAGATTCTGAAATCGTTACATCGTATACTGTATTTATTCGATTAAATGCCGCGGCATTTACTATATTTTTAGTGTCTCCAATGCAGTGCTAATTCAAGGGCGGCATTTATTTCGAAACCACTTTTTCTAAATCACTGACAACAGTTACTGTAAATCGTTTGTAAATACTATTCAATGTAAAGGTTCCAATTGCCTAATTTCATACCGTACAGGAGCCTGGCACTACCGGATTTTCCCAGACTTTTTAAATTCCGGATTCAAAATGTCTTCTAAAACAGAAGGTAAAGCAAAGGTCATTGCATGCAGTTGAAACGATATTAAGGGCCAGTTTACTCCAGAAAGTTAATATTGTACAGCAAAGAACGGTTGTTTTACTGCTTTAAAGAACTTCAACCAAAAAATTCGAGAAAAGAAGGATCTAATTGGAGACTTTCGCTACTTGGAAGTATTCATTTGGAAGGATTCCCGAATTGTTCGACCAAAAATTTGAACAAAAAACCGTCGAGTTTAGCTTTTTTACGGTGCTGGATCGGACCGAATATTGGGAAAGGTAAGGGAGTGGGTGTACCTGTTTTTACAAACTGTTGAATAAAGACTACAAAAAGCAAAACACACAAGAGTGACCCTGAGTGAAAGGCAACATCTTATTAGCTCGGCAAGGCTAAATTAGATTTTCTCCCCGTCACTGCGTACGGTCTCAGTAGAAATCCTAAAGATCAGACTGGAAGCAGTTGTCACTGAACATAGATAAAAGCACGTATACTTCAGTCTCACCTGGGAGGCATTTCTCGTCCAGTAACACTGCAGTTCTTGTGACCAGACCTCATGCATTAAGCAATGTTATAATATACACAAGTAATTTTTCTTAGGGGGATAAATTGTGTATAGTTTCTTTGTGAGGCCCTTGCATGTGATTCTGTACCTTCCAGTTACATTGTAATTCTTTTAATTTAGACACTACTCAGGACATGTATAAATTTACTGATAAAATGGCAATGGCTTAGAAGGCTCATTTGTTGAGCTGCCTCTTTTTGGAACTTACTAAGACCATGTTTACAATTTGGGCAGTCACCTTGTAATCACAATCAAGAATGTCACGTACATCTACCTTTTGGCTAACATGCACTGAGTATAGACTAGTCCCTATTCTCCCTGCATGTGATATAAGATAGCTAGGTTTAACATACACAACGCCACAAAGTTCACTACACTCAGTACCTTTCACGGACATTACTCTTTTCCACGACATAAATAATCCGGGTAATGAGCCCTTCTGTACTGCCCTTTTAAGTTTTGATCAGGCATACTTAGGTTACGATCGGTACGTACACAATCACATCTTTGTACTTGCCTGTAGTGCTTCTCTACTTTACAGATGCGGGTAGAATTAAACAGAGGCTCCTTTGCTGCAGAAAAATTATAATCATCTTTGGTTCAAGTGACCTGTTCATTGAACTGTTGCTTGCACTTGCTAAGTGTCGGCTCCAGAGGTTTAGCTTCAATATTGCACCCTCTCCATTGATCAATTTTTCTTCGAAAAAGAATGCTTTCGTTCGAGTTTTTACTCTGACTATCCGCCATTTTGAAACTGGCCTTTTTAAAAAGTTCGGGAAAATCCGGTAGTGCCAGGCCCCCGCACGGTATGAAATTAGGCAATGTCTCCCTTATTTCGCTGAGATAGAATCGCAAATGTCTGGATGGTGCAAATTGTACCGAGATTTTTCTTTTTATTCTCGAGTAGACACCACATTCTTTTGATTAGTTGCGGCGTTTATTTGAGGGCGGTGTTTATTGGTAATTTTGCTTCCATCTGCAGCCGTTGATCGAGGGTGGCGTTTATTCGAGGGCATCATTTAATCGATTAACCCAGGGAAAGTTAAGCATTCCATGTTGTACTGTTTTTTGATCGACTGACGTGACGCAGAGATCGAAGAAACATAGCTAGGGAAGAGTGAGCTTGTGTAACCACACCTGTTACGCGTTTTTGTCTCTACAGAGACTGGTAACGCATAATGGCAGTCAATATTACACACACGGCAAGTTTTTGTTAGCCTAACAGAGGCCTGATTTCTTTGGATTTGCATACATGACGCTTTTGGAAGATGGAAAACCTGGTTAAGATGAAAAAACAATCATAAAATTAATGATATAGTTTAACTTATTTCTGTCTTCAAAAATGATCTACCAGATCAGTAAGTAGCAATTTTCATACACAGTTCAAAATTAACCCCTTGGAAAGTGATTTTTATTGTCCAACCCCCCTCCCCTCTGGAATTTCCTGGGCCTCTGACCACCCTCCCCACCATTCCCTCGGAATTTCCAATTCCCTCCGTGGTTGGGATATGGATATTTTCTGGAACCACACATTTCTTAGCCATCTTTGCACGACTACGACATGAAAGTGCAATTAATTTCATGTTCATTTCATGCTATATTCTTTTCCTGAACTTTGATACAGTCCTTTAGAATTCAACTCCAATTAAACAAGGTGGAATAAGCGCAATAAAGTTTGAGGCAGCGTGAATTCACTCTTTAAGTGACGTTTCCATATCCGTCGCCGTTGTTGTTGCTTAAGCACCCTATTCTTTATTAGTAAAGTAAGTAAGTGAAGTAAATATCATATTATCCACTCCCCTCAAGACTTTTCAGGGATAATTTACAACACTGGTTGGGGGACTTTGCCAGACTGCTTAAGGTACAGTTTACAAGTAATGATGCCCCCATACATGAGTGTGAAAGTGAGATAGACCACTACACCGGGCACTATGTGCCCTAGTCTTTACAAAGAGTGTGTGGGTTTTTTAATGTCCCACAGATTTTTTATTAGATTATTAGATGTGCAAGGGCTTGTGAGACAGGGCCTATGATTTATCATCCTTATCCGAGAAGACTAAAAAGTCAAACTGTTTACAGATGTTATTACAAAGGCAGCACTTTCTCCTCAATTATTTAAAGACCCTGAGTGTTGGTCTGCCTGGGGTTTGAACCTACGGCCTCCCGCTCAGCAGACCGGCATTTATCCCATTGAGCTAACCAGGCAGCAGTCCATAACTTGCATTCAAAAAGGCTGCCTGACTCATTTAAGAAATGGTAAACATGCATCATAAAACCATTGTGTTACTGATGTACACAAAGGGGTTGCTATTTGCACAAAAGAAGCACAGTTGCTTAAGGCATACCCTAGAGCAACTCTAGCTTCTTGAGTGCTTAGCAAACCTCCCAAGTGCATTCATGACTCGTTGGTTGCACAGCTACCAGAGAATCACATAATCAAAGAGAACAACTTCATTAATCCTGACAGATAGCAGGGGAAAGATTTGAGTTTTATTACCAATGCACTGTGATGCATGCAAATCATTCTTTGCAGTCGTTTCTTTTCGATCTTTTTGCTGAATAAGAATCTGAGTATGTGCTTTGCTGTATAGTTACGATAATTTTCAATTATGCAGTTAAGTGCATATCCATGTATCACTACCAGCAGTACTATCTACCCAGTACAGATCCCTAGGGAGGGAGGGAAAGGAGCAGTGGTGACTGCATGTTCTTTTTTCTGAGAAATTCTCTGCTAATTCACAGAACTTGGTTACAATGTTAGAGACAGTTTGATTTGGGGAAGTCTCAACTTAGAACTTACATACATTTATTGATTTTGATGTTCATTCTGAAAAATCATTGATCAAGGAAATCTTTTTTAACACGCATTATTCTCTTTGAGATAAAGGTAAGAGATACCTTTGCTAGCCGTTGCAGTGTTGAGCAAAATAAATTTGTAATTTGGACTTGTAAGTTGCTCTGAACAAATTGCCAATCAAAACACGTCCCTTTTTGCAGAACAATGTTGCAACAGTCTGATTGTGAAGTTCCCTTCCTGGTTACCTGCAAATCCCTGCAACAATGATATGTTGCCCCATGGCCACTGCAGTTTAACTCATCTATATATAAGAAAAAGCAAAGAAAGAATAAAGTAGGGGCCTTCATAACAGGATATTCATGACGGGTCACCCGTCCAGTTCCTAACCCCGCCCAACACGGCTTAACATGAGTGGCACCATTAAAAAGTGAGTTTTGCGAGGGTAATGTGAGATACATATTTCTAGTAAGATAGTGGACTCTCTATTTATTTGGTTGAAGATCTAAGTGGCAAAGTGGATAAATGGATTTTTAAATCATTTAATTTTTTTAATCTATTATTTTGATACATAAATCTGTTTTAAGTTGTTATTTAAAAAATCTGATGAAAATTTTTATTCCTTTAAGATGGTGAGATGATCAGCGAACATGTCCGACGCAAAACAGACATCACTGAGATGGGGGAACATTTCTTGAAAAAACTGGTGGTAGCATGCTTAGAGAATGACAGTGCTATGAGACCTGGCACAAAGGAAATCAAAAACGTTCTTGAGAGACACAAATTTGAGGCTGAGTGGGTAGTATTGCAATCAAGTGGATTTGAAACTGATGATGAAGTCAGGATTGAGAATGCTGAATGTCAATCATCACCTTATTACAAGCTCAAGGTTTCACTCATTGTTTTGCTCCAGAAAACATCTATACTACCCCTGTGGAGGGTTTATTGGTTTGAAGTCCCCCACCCTCAGGAGATTCCAGTTTACGTTCCTAACAAACCTTTAACCTTTTTGGCTTCTTAAAGACCTTTCACCCCCGCTGCGTATTTCCAGTTACCCTCCATGAACTGAGTATGGATATATTCTGGAACCATTTATTGGTGTCAGGGGAATGGGAGACTTGTTTATTCATTTGTATCAAGAATCCATTATTTTTGGTATGTTTTGAGCATGACAGCCTGAAGACAAACCTCATGTGTATATGCGAGCCTACTGTTTTCTGTTTTGTCCATGGCATTTTAAAATTCATTATAGCACATTACCAGAAATAAAAATAAAGGAGAGTAAAACATTCCTGGGAGACTCTGGGCGATTAGTAAATTTATCAGGCGCATCCAACAACTGTATGTTTCCAAATTTGCGTATTGTAAGTCTGATTGGTTTAATAATTTGAAGCTGCCCTAAAAGCTACTCATCTGTTTGGATGTCTTAGGGGAACTTTAGTCCCCTTGAAAGTTTTAGGCTTTTTTGTCTCATTCACCGTGTTCACTACCCTGAAACCTACGGACGAAAGTTTGAGGATATGGAGTAGCTGTGTTTTCTTCAGAGGATTCTAGAGGACATTTTCAGCGGACCTTTTTGAACAATAAATGCAATATCTTGGTCCTAAAATGTGAATTTAAGCACCACCTCCGAAAATTGGAGGTAAGTTAGTACAAAAACCCTGATTATCGTAGATGAAGAGAATGTTTATCCAGAAAATTTTAGCCTTTCTCGAGCTTTAGAAATTTTTAGGCAATATTTACTCCTTCAAACAGTTATTTTACAGAGAAAAGAAACTGGGTGTCCCTGATTTAACTAAGGTAAAATTTTACTGTTTATCTTTTGAAACATTTATATATTGGTTGTGTTAGAGACAATCAAAATCTACAAAGATCTGAGAGAATAATTGGAGTTTGCCAACATTGCTTTTTTTCATTCTGTAGGTCGTGCTTAATAGTAAAATTAAAGGAGACTTACCTGTAAGTTGAAGTTTGATTGAGATTCTTTCTGAGTTATAAAGTGCTTGGAGGTTACATGAGATCGCAAGCGCATGTACCAACTCCATCTTTGAATGTGAGTGACAGCAGGCACCCACTGAACCAAGGGTGGGTAGAAGGGCATTTAATTTCCCAGCACTTTATAACTTAGTAGAATCTCAATCAAACTTCAACTTACAGGCAAGTCTCGTTTAATATTACCATTCTACCTCGTTATTGTGCTGTGAGATCACATGAGATTTTGAAGCAACGTGAGCATTAAGCATAGTCAAATAAGGCTTTAATTCATGCCAGTGTGTTGCTTACAGTGCTGAGTACTCTTTCAGCAAACATGTTCTCTTCAATGATGGGCTTGTTATGTCGAGTCTGAGGACCAGCCAGCTGTGTGCAAGATATCATCAAGGCTTACTGAGGCACTGTTGGCTGCAGATGTACTGGCAACCCGAGTGCTGTGTGGTTTAAATCTTGAAGTGTCTATTACTTCACCCAACGGCTTATACTATCTCTACTAACCTTTCCGAAAGGTCTTTGATAGCTAACAAACAACTGGTTTTCTTACCCTCTTAGACACACAGAGTTTTATCATCGAGTGCTTTAAGTTTAACAAGTGGGGCCGTGACCCGTACTCTACTGAAAAGTGTAACAATTATTCGAAAAAACCATGTGATCTAATAGACACATTCCAAATTTCAGGGGTCCTTCGGTCTTGGAGGTTTTTCCTGGAAAATGTCTTTCATCAGCCTGGACACTAATGGGTGTTTTCTACACATGTCCTATCCTCTAATGTAATATAACTGGACAATGCACTTCTGGCAGTGTTAATGGCAATGTATGTGAGGCCTTGATGGTATAGTGTTGTAAGGAAGTCAAGGACAGGCACTCGAGAGGGTTGAACGTGATTGACTTGCCTCTGATTACAAAAGTTTTGCCATTTTGTGATGCAGGCACTGTTCTGTTAATTTGACCCATTCTGACGGGAAGCCATGATGAGTCTGGCAGCTGCCTCTGAAATTCCTCTATCCTGGATAGATCGCCAGACAGGAGACATGCCACCATAGTCAGTTTCTTTCTTAATGGGTGTAGAGAGTAGGGAGAATGTGACAGTAAAAGTAGATTTTGCTACTTTAGCAACACAAGTGGGATTGCAATTATCATTTTCAAAAGTTGTGGCCACCAGACTTGAGTGGGCCACAGTGGTAAATCATGATGCCCTGAGGTACTTTTTCCTCTATAATCTTCTGCAAACGTCTGTGAATTTGACAAAAAGGTCGAAAAGCATTAAAAATACAATGACGCCCAACTAATAGTAAATGCATCCACAAAACATGAGGCAGGGTCAGGTTTCCTCGAGACAAACCAAGGGAGCTGTGCATTAAGTCTAGTGGCAAATAGGTCAATTTCTGGTTTGCCCCAAATGGTAGTAATTTGTGTACAGATCCCTCTTTTTGGGGTCCACTCAGTTCAGTCATTAAATGACTGTGACTCTTTGTCAGCCTCAGTATTTTATACTCCAGCTGTGTTAGTTACTGTTAACCAGTTATTATTATTTACACACCAATCCCCTGTGGCAAAAGAAATTTGAACGCATGTTGGGGATTTCGTGCCACCCATATCATTAATAATAGGTTACAGCTGTTGAGTTGTCACAGAGAACTTTGGCATGCTTATTTTTTAGCCTTTCACCAAAGGCTTGCAAAGCGAAGAAGATCACCTTCAACTCTAACTTGTTGATGTGCAGTTGGCTTTCTGCACTAGACCAAAGTAAAGTCAGATCTAACTTCTATGACAGGATTTCCGTGTGATATCGGATTAAAGGCCGTGTCCACATTTTCAATCCACCAAGCGAGTTCTTCTCTGGCGCTTGGGGACAGGGATATGAAAGCCTAATAGTTGCCCTTATGTTCCCTGAGGGCTAAGTTCTTCTCCATTTCTAGGTTTCTGTGATGAGGTCTCCCAAACTGCACTTCGAGCAAGTTAGAGACCAGTGTGCCAATTAATTGGGCCAGCTCCGTGATAGTAGTTTCATGTTTATGTTGCATTGCTTGGCAACTGGCTTTCCCTTTAGCTTTTTTCTCATCAGTGAGGGTAATTGTCATTGACACAGAGTCAAGGACAAAGCCTAAAAATGTAATTCGCTGGTCTAGAATGACGGATGATTTCTGTGCATTTATCACAAACCCCAAAAGTGTAAACAATGTTTGTGTATCAAAGATATTTAGCAGGCATTCATTGGTGTCTTTACCTTGAAGGTAGGAATCGTCTATGTAACCAACATTTAGGTGACCTTTCTGTCTCAAAGTGGAGTAAACTGGTGTCAATAGCTTATTAAAACATGCACCTAGGGGCTGATGAAAGCCCATTTGGTATACATGTGTATTGGTAGAGACGACCCTGCCAGTAAAATCTGTAAGATATTGCCGATATCTGGAGTCTTGAGTCGCACAGCCGACCAAAGGGTATCCATTTTGAAATGGTGTTTCTCAATATGCGGTATTGGCCGCTTTTCTTTTTCCTAACAAAAATAGTGGAAATGTATTCATCTGGATTGTGTACAGCAGGCTCAATAACGCCCAATTCAAGCAGGCGAGCAATTTCTGAAGTAATTCTTTCTCTCTCACTGGGATCAAAATGAATTTCAGGCGGAGGCCTCGATTGAGTTGGATTGCCAATCTCTAAAGGGCAGTGCTTTATAATGTTCAGTATATTTTGGTGTGCTGTAATACTTATCCATGCTAATACAAAATGCCTTAGCCTACCAGCAATTTTTTGTGTTTCATGACTAACCTGCATAAGGTTCGAGCTTAATCGTTCTTCTTCTTCCCCTCCTGTTTCCGTCTGAAGTGGATAGGGGGCTCTGGACGTTTCTTGACTGATTGTTGTTTGTGAGAGCCACCTTTTGGCATGGAAAGAGTAAATGTGGTGTGTCGTTAGCTACTTTTTGAAACGCTATTAGACCTGCCATCTTTGGTAAGCTTGGAGCTTAGGCAGTTTGTGTCTGATATGTCCTTAACAGCCTTAGGGAGATCATCCCTAAACAGCTCGGCTGTGACTGGATTTGACGGGCTGCAGAGGTGTCTGTAATTTGTATTGAGCTGAGGTCTCATCGGCTCTCTCCATCGATAATTTAACTCCCGGTTGGCATTTGCCTGAAAAACTACCCCATCCAAAAGGGCACTTACAGTATCTTCTTTCTGAAGTCCTGAGTTGCCCATCAGCTCACTCACCTCTGACACGACTACTATTATTCCTTTAATTAGGCTTTTCTGCACCTTTCGGAACTTTAAGTCAGTATACCTAGCTGACTCATTTAAGTTCTTCCACACACCTTGATTGACCATTGTCCCTGACAAGATGGTACAATTCTTGGGGTTTCGCGTTGCTTCTTTAATTCTGTTATTTTCTCTTCAGTAGCATTCTCTCTCATGATTTTACCCGCAAGTGACGCAAGCTTCCCGTCGATGGCGGGCCCCACTTGCTCGGTGAGCTGCAGGGTGTTTGTGAGCTTAGCAATCAGGGGATTGCTGTTCTTTACCGATTCATTCGGTTTCTTTTTCTTAGCGGGTGGCTCGTCCTCGACAAGTGATTCGTCGAAGTCCTTAGACACGCTCGAATCACAATCATCACCCGAGTCTTCGTCGCCATTGTCGCCAGAATGTGATGCAATCAAATTGCCCAAACCGGCAAAGCCCGCGTTCATTGAATCCCTTAGGCCTTCAAATGAACCCTTGAGAACCAAGAGCTGCCGCGTTTAAGATAACAGCAGAACTTCCTTCGTTCGCGTTTGTCCTTCGTGCTTGAGCTGCTGCGGGCCTTTTCCCGCCTTTTTGTGAAGCTGGTTTTCCACTTGATTTACACACATCATCAGTGCTGGAATCCGCCTTAGAGGATTTTTCCTTACTCCTGACCTCGTAAGGTTTTTGTCCTTAGATCAAAAACGTGTTTCGACCCAATCTCGACCCCAGAGCTCTTCTGCGCATGACGACTAGGGAGGAAGAGCTCTGGGGAACCCTTGAACAAGATTGTCTCTGACTGGTTTCACCAAAAAACAATTAAAGTGTTTCTGATTGATCCATTCAAGTTTGCACGAAAGCGGGTGAAGGTGCGGCGTGTCTTGCGTGTGAGCGGGTTGTTGAACGGTAAACACGCCCGATCGATTCTTGATTGATCAGCGATTCCAAAACAACATTTACATGACTAATTACTAGGCAGAATAAGTGGATTACCCCAATTTTCAAATAAAATAAAAATACATCGACATCTTTGCCAGCTATAATTTAAGAAGCATGACACAATACTGATTTTACTTCAACTTCCACGTTATCGTATTGACAGGAAGTAGCCGAGTATGAATGAAAACTTAAGCTTCATGTCGTAAATTGCCCGAAAAAACAGACTTGCAAGATAGAAGTAAACAAAAAGTGAATCGTTCTCTGAAGTGATGAGTGTACAATGCGACTAGATATTTATAGCTGTCTTCTGTTTCCCACGATATCGCCTTTCAAAGTAGCTTTACTGAAGCGTTTAATATTCATGAACAAACATAAATAAAAGGACGCAAAATTCATATTTTCAAAAGTTTTAATGGAATTACCATACGTATATCTTAACAAGCCATTCGGGTTTCACTTACCGCCTCGTGAAGTATGCAGTCCACGCAAATATTTAATCAACTGTCGAGCATATGCAAATTTCAAGTCTCAAAACTGTGAACGTTTAACGGTATTTTCTCAGCAGCTACCACAAGAGCCTTGGGTACCTGAAAATTCTTCAAGGCTCCATTTCTTCAGTTCTAATTCCGAAGAAACATGAAACTTCGCAGTGAAGTAGACATAGAGGAAGCAAAACGCTTTGGTTGGATTAAAAAGCATGCGCTGTGAAGCCCAACTAGCCAGATTTTGGCTACGCCGGCGCAGAGTTTCCCAGAGCTTACGCAAGGAGTCAGAAGCGTAAGCACTGGGGTCGAGATTGGTTTCGACCAAGCACTGGGTTGGCGCATGCGCTTGCGATCTCGTGCGATCTCACAGCACGATAACGAGGCAGGGTGACAATGCTACGAGCTCCATTTTTAGTGTGAACTGGGGAAAAGTGATTTTTTTCCTTGACAGTTATCCTTGACCTCTAAGTTAAAGTCTGGGCTTTTTATTTCAAGGTTCATAAATTTCAGGTTGATCTTTATGTCGCAAATGGTGTGATGATGTGTGATCCTGTTATACACTACTACAGCAAATCTAAGAGGAACATCACTTGAAAAAAGTGGTTGGCTATTTTGCGAGTCAAGAGTCAAGAGTCTTTTTATTCCTCATAAAAGCATATTTTGCGTTTTCAATTTCTTGCCTTCCGTTTATTTATTTAATTTAAATCTTCGATTATGGAAATTGACTTTCTCTGCATAAATTGGATAGAAATCATGCGTCCACTTGTTTTTTGTTTGTTTGTTTGTTTGTTATTTTTTATCTGCGCGATTCATCGCTGCCCAAAGCAAAGTTTTATGTTTGCCTAAAATAAATTCTTATTTAGGTCGAAAGTACTACTTTAATTTTCTTCTCTAAGATGGTGTAACTAGACATTACGGTAAGTTGACTGTACTTTTTTTCTGGAATTTAAAATTCAATTCAGATGATATAAAGTTGTTGTAGGCGCGTGGTTATGTCTCCTAATTGTGCGAAGAATCATACTTCTGCTCTGGCCAACGTGGTTAAATGTATACGTTTTGAAACATCGAAGAGGGTTGAATAATTGTTTGTATAAGAAAATTGTTGCTACACAACAGAAACATGGTGTCCTTTTACGGAATGTGCAAATACTCCCCCTTTCCTTTTCGATTAGATTTAAAAATGAGCTGTACTCTCCATGTTCCTGAAATCATTCTGACCCCCTTTGAAGTCTCAAAAGTATATGTTTAAGAAGGTTGGCTGGGAATGAAATCTTGATTATTTTCCCAGTATGACAGTGTTTAACTTTTGGTGTGAAGATATTTCTTTGCGCACAACTATAAGCAATACCTGCATGGGTAAAAATATTGGCCACCCTTAGCGGAAGAAGAAGAACAGACCAACATAAATATTCTTGAATTAAATGTCAAAATCCCATAGAAAATCGTAAAGTCAACTTGATGAAATCGAAGAGGACTTTGTCTAGATACCATGACATTAGAGAACCAAGTCAAACATATCGCCTTTGACCTAACCAAGGATTTTCATGAAACGTAAAACTCTGCCGTTATAGCCGTGAATCACCGCGTGAAAGAAACTATTTCAGTAACCCATGGAATTTTATATTCGCTAATCTATCCTTGTCAATAACCAATATCGAAGTTTTAAATAAATGTTTAAAAAATACAAAAACATTAAAACTTGAAATAATTTTGAGAAAAACTCTTTTGACTTGCATGTATGGCAGACTCGCAGAATTTATTTAAAGGAGCACGAGAAAATTGATTAGCTGGCAGTATCACAGCAAAAAAACTTCTTGGAAATAATCGTTGAATTTGGTGAGTTAAGGTGGCTCCGTAATTAATACAAGAGCATTTAACTGTGACAAATTTTCCGTCATAACTTTTTGGTTTTTAACGCGATGGCTGCGAAACTTGGCAAAGAACAACAGATATCAATCGGCAATAACACAAAATATTCCGATTTCACTGATGGTAAATATTTCTTGAGAAATTAGTGCTTAAAAGGACCCTACTGTTCAAAGAAAATCGCGTCTAGTAAAAAATTTTGCTGATATTTTTTACTGAAATTTCTGGTATCGGCTTTAAAGGATATAATAAATATGCCAGAGGAATTTCAGAAAAATCGTTGGAGCAGAAGTCCGTAACTAAAAGTCGGTCAAAATTCAGCTGTGAAATTGTTTTGGAATTTCAAAAATAAATTACTATCAGGTAGAAGGAGCCACCAGTTTGAATTTTCGGGACAAGTAAATTCAACGCTTGCTAATTCTTAAAACAAAAGCCGATTGCCTATCGTGCTATTCTTTGAAAGGTACTTTTTAGTTTTAGAAGAACTATAAATTGCTCCAAACCTTGCTCTGAAGTAGAATGACTTGTTCGTCGACAGTTTTAAAATATCCCTTGGCAGTTTTGGCTCAAACTCCTGCTGCATACATTTTGATGTATTGCCATGCATTTTCAACGACTTTTACTGCCGTTCGTTGCTTCCAACTCAGGAAAAAAGTGTTGAGATTGGACGCTACCTCGTATCAGAGCTCAGAAAGAACTGTCCAGCACCTTTGTTTATGACTACAAAATGAGCACGAGCGGCAGTTCTGCGTGGAATTCGCACCTCACACAGGGGGGACGAACGACAATGATGACCATGCTTGTGATCCAAATAACATCACAGTGCAAAATAAAATTATCGCAAAAATACTGCCCGTTAATAAATTTACAACTCTGAAATTTTTGTCACTCCTTCCTTCAATGAATGGGTATTTTTTTCTTGATTATTATGTTTTGCTCTGCAATACATGTTTATACAGATCGGTTCACGGACATGGGCATCATTGTCACTCGTCCCCCCTGGCTGAGGTGCGAATTCCTCGCAGAGCTGCCGCTCGTGCTCATTTTCTGGTCATAAACAAAGGTACTGGACAGTTCTATCTGAGCTTCGATACTAGGTAGCTTACAATCCCAATACGTTTTTCCTGAATTGGAAACAACGTAAAGCACGAAAAGCCGTTGGGGAGGCTTTGCAATACATCAAAATGTATGTAGCAGGAGTTTGAACCAAAATTGCCAAGGGATATTTTAAAAATGTCGAGGAACAAGCCATTCGATGTCAGAGCAAAGTTTCGAGCAATTTATAGTGCTTCTAAAACTGAAAAGTACCTTTTAAAGAATAGCACGATAGGCAATCGGCTTCTGTTTTCAGAATTAGGAAACACACTGAAGTTGCTTGTCCCGAAAATTGAAACTGGTGTCTCCTTCTTTCTGATAGTAATTTATTTTTGAAATTCCAAAACAATTTCACAGCTGAATTTTGACCGACTTTTAGTTACGGACTTCTGCTCCAACGATTTTTCTGAAATTCCTCTGGCATATTTATCATATCAATTAAAGCCGATACCAGAAATTTCAGTAAAAAATATCAGCAAAATTTTTTACTAGACGCGATTTTCTTTGAACAGTAGGGTCCTTTTAAGCGCTAATCTCTCAAGAAATATTTACCATCAATGAAATCGGAATATTTCGTATTATTGCCGAATGATATCTGTTGTTAACTGCGAAGTTTCGCAGCCATCGCGTTAAAATCGAAAAAGTTATGACGGAAAATTTGTCACAGCTAAATGCTCTTGGGTTAATTGCGGAGCCACCTTAATAACTCGAACTGACATACGGGAAGCTTTCAGCTGCTGGTGACGTAGTATCAACTAAAATTACATTTTTTGCCAATTGAACATGGTGATAGATATCTTAGGTACTCCTTTTTTCTCTTCATTCAATTTATCCTATCTTTATCCTATGTTCATCTGTCCTTCTTGTAGGATAACACAAATGACAGAACTGCAACTCCTTTTGCGCGGAGACTTTTAAGGGTAACTTCATTAGCAGATGAATGGGGATCAGCAAAGGGCGGTTTGTCTACTCTGAGCAGAGAACTAGCAAAACATCTGGCACGTCAGCCTGGTGTAGCAGTAACCCTTCTTCTTCCAAATTTTAGTGAAAAGGAGAAGCAGGAAGCTAACGACCACAATGTACATCTTGCTTTATCAGACGACATGACTGAATTTGGTCCTTCTGAAGATTTTGACAGTGATGTTGTTGTAGGCCACGGTCAAAAGGTAGGAGCACCAGCTCAGGTCATAGCGGAACAACACAGCTGCAAACGAATTCACGTTGTACACACTGCCAGTGAAGAGCTTGCAATGTTCAAGAAAAGAAAGAAAGCAATATCGGAAGGTGAGGAAAAGCATGATGCTGAAATAGACCTATGTAAGGAAGCTGATATTGTCGTGGCTATTGGACCAAAGCTTACGGAAGCTCTCTCTGCCAGTCTGCGACCGTATGGTAAAGATCAAGACGTGCTAAATATTACACCTGGAATTTTCCCAGAGTTCTTAAAGTTGAGTCAAGCCGTTGAGGAAAGAGAAAAGTTCCGCATCTTAGTGTTTGGTCGTGGTGACTCGGATGTTTTTGAACTAAAGGGATACGATATAGCTGCTCAAGCTGTAGCAAGCTTAAAAGACAAAAGCTACCATCTCTTATTTGTCGGAGCACCAAAGGGGAACGAAGAGGAGGTAAAAGAGTACTTGGTTGACTGTGGCATTTCTCCCACCCAGCTAACTGTGCGAGGCTTTGTTAAGAGTCGCGAGAAACTGGAACAACTCTTTTGTGAGGTGGATCTGGCAATTATGCCGTCACGAACGGAAGGTTTTGGCCTCACCGCTCTCGAAGCACTTTCCGCAGGCCTACCTATTTTGGTAAGTGATAATTCGGGGTTCGGACAAGCTATTAAAAGCGTTAACTTTGGATCGTCGTTTGTGGTGCATTCTTGTGATGCTGAAGAGTGGGGAAAAGCTATCAGAAGTGTGAGAGAGAAACCAAGGCAAATCCGGCTAAACGAAGCCCTCTGGCTGCGAAAGTTTTATGACGAAAAGTATGAATGGGAGCCACAATGTGAAAGGCTCGTAAGTCGAATGCGTTGTTTTTTCGAGTAAACTGTACGTCAGCTAGATTGGAAGGCTTTGTTGAAGACAGCAATGAATGAAATCTGGTTATGCATGTCCAACTCTAAATAGAAAACACCATAAGGTCTAAGTTATATTGACATTTTTCCTGTAACGTTTTTTGAGTCTAAAGCCCGGTTTCCATATGATCGCTTGCACGATCGCTGAGAAAAAAAAATTCAGCGATCGCAGCGATCATAGCGATCATATGGAAACCACTCTCCAGCGATCGTAGCGATCGTAGCGATCATATGGAAACCGGGCTAAAGTCCTTGTTTTTTTTTCTGGTTCTTGCATGTAAAGGCGAGGTCACAGTATCTTCAAGACTTTGTATAGTGATGATAGTGACCTCGCTATCTGAGAGCCTGGCTCAGGCTATGATAACATTAGACCGCGAAGACAAATGAAAATAAAGAGTTATAACTAGTCTTTAGCCTTATATGGGATACCCTTTATTTTTTTAATTCTTGGAAGGATAGGGTAGAGTCAGTGTATGCTTGACACAGACTTTGTAAAAAACATTCATTTTTGTTAAAATATTATCAGTCAAATCTTTAGTGTTTCTACTCGCCAGGCCACTACGTTCATGCCTGAGTCGTTCATAAATTTGAAAGACGGGGTTGTAACTCTTGTTGTAAAATTACGAATTGGTGAACGTGTAATTCTTGAAGAAAACAATTAAATTTAAAGAGTCACATTCATGGGGGTGTTGTCATATAAGTTTGTTAAAATGATAAGCGAGTACTTTTTCCCTAGCACCATAGGTAGTAGAGCAGACTACCAATTATCAACTCAAGTTTTATTTTAGTTCTTTCTTGGCTATGATTAATGTTGGTAACAAAACTTCGTGGAGTCTAATGCGATCTGCATTCATACTCTTCATTTAACAAATCGGACTTCCTGGAATTATCACGAGACCGAACAAGAACGGAACCTGCGTTCAGGCATCAAACATCAAACCTAATCTTCATCTTATCAGAACAGAACTGTACGAGACGTATTGAGTCTGGACCTAACCTGCGATCAGGCCTTCTTTTTGTTTTTTTGAGGAAGCGCGAAATTCGGCGGACAGGCAAAGGACCTGAACAAGGAAGAAGGACCGTCTGATCTCAGGTTAGCCTGGACCAATCAGAAAAAATTCCAGATTGTGGCTTTCTTTTACCTCAGTCTGGTAAATATATGTATCATGTCCTCCTTCCCACGAAAGAGGGCACGAGCGCAGGCTACAGGCAGACAGGAACTCAGTCCTATGACCATTATTTGTTACCGTGTTCTTTTATATTAGGTTTAAGACATAGGAAAATTTACTGTATTGTAACCGCGTTACCGCTACATTGAATTATAGGCGGGTCAACGAGGCACCCAACCCCGGGCGTTCACCGCGATGAAACGAGAGAAATTTGCAACAGCTAAGCAAGGTACCTCAAAGCTAAGGTTGCTAAAAGTTTAAGGTATTATAGGGTATTATGCATCAGTCAATTCCAGCTGCACCCATGCTCCCCCCGGGCATTTTTGCCTTGAATGACAAATTCCCTGGGGCGGGGACACTTGAGTTTGCAACAGCCTTAAGTAATAACAGTGACAAAATCTCAGACGTTTGACGCCGATGGACCCCAGGGGCTGCTATTTCTTCCACAAAAGCTGTGGTCACACTACAGACTTTTTACCTAGGTAAACACGACTTGTTGACAGTTTACCTAAGGAAACTTGATTTTTTAAATGTGACCGATTTTTCCCTAGGTAACTTACCTCGGGGAAATTTTATCGTCTGGGTCTTGGATATGTCTCGAAAACAATAGAGTTCACCTTGACAGCTACCCCAAAGCAATAGCTAGGGAAAAATGAAATACCGAGGTTGCAAGCCAATAGACGCTCATCGGCGAAGGTCTTGATGACAGAACCGGACATAGATCACGCTGCGAAAGAAATTTTGGGGGCACGAGTCGTCTACGTCTTCGCCTTTCTTCACCCTGCACGTTGAATTAGCGTAAGAAATAACAGCGAGATAAAAGAAAAAAACGTCTCTTTGATCAGCTAGAACCCTGCACATTTTGCCTTCTTGAATTTACGCTCCAAAAAATTCAACTGGCGTGAAAACTTTGGGAGCCGATGTCAGTAGTGTGACCTTCCCAGAATTTTTACCTAGGTACTGAACAAAACCCGAGATGAATCTACCTCGGGAGATTTTTGATGAATTTGCCCTAGGTAAATTGGTTTTACCTGGGTAAAAGTCTGTAGTGTGACCACAGCTAATATCTTGAAGTTTCTTGTGTTTAACTTGCGACAAATAAATTTTTAAAGCTGTGTTTTTAGCTGCGTTACGCATAAGTCACCCTCCAGTACCAATTCCGGGTACCAATTTTATCTCAGATTGGTCAAAACTTTGAGACATGTATTCATGTGTTAAAGGTAGTGCAGCCTTTGAAAGTTTCTTTACCCACAGGTGTCCCTACTGCCAAGGAGCTTTCATTATTTTTAGTGCCAGGCAGCTTACCGGAAATTTTCCGTTATTTGTTTTTTTCATCGGATCTCTACGATGAAGCCGCCATCTTTGATTTTATGACAGAGGAAGATTGGGGAGAGTAGAAATAGTAACCCTTACGGAACGTTAATACGGAACGGTAAGTGTGAGGGCGAAAAAAGAAGAGGGGCGCCCCATTTCCTCCTCTCTTCGGGAGTTTCAACATGGCGCTTTCGCGATTAAAACTATTCGCGCGCGCTCGATGAAAACGCCTGCACTGCAGGCTAAGACCCTCTTTATACTAGTAATCCCTGTGAACATTGACCGGTAACCGTATATTTCGTCACGTAAGGTACCCATAATGCAAATGGATCAAAAGGAGTTTTGGTTGTGATCAACGGCGAATTAAAGCGAGGAGCAAAACATGAGAAAACGGAACTGAGAAAAAAGAATCAAACCATCTTCCAATCACATTTAGCTATCTTTGTTTTGTATTAATTCTTTGTTGTAAGGAAAAATCCAGGATGTTACTTTGGACTGCTTTGGAGACTTGATTTAAAACGAGATTTCCCGGAAGAAGTCTTCAGCTTCGTACGTAGTCTGGCAACAATGCTGTCCAATCGAGAAGGAATTGTAGCCGGGGAGCAAAGCTTCAAATCTTCGACATGAGTTGTGCAGGAGCACAGGAAGAATCTCTGGAATCTCATGTCAAAGAGTTGGTGTTGAAAAAGGAGATAGGCAAAGGGTCTTATGGCAAAGTCTATAAAGCTGTGTGGAAGGGACGCGACGTTGCAGCGAAAAGGTTTCACTCTGTGTTCTTTCAAAATGGCTCCTGCCAGCAAGAACACTATATGGAAGAATTTCAGCGAGAATGGAATGTTCTAAAGCTTCTCGATCACCCTAATGTAGTAAAACTACACACTGTTTTATTTCCCAAAGGACTCTCACCCATAATAATCACTGAATTACTTCACTGTGACCTGGAAAAGTACATTAGAGAGTCCACTACCACACCAAAAATCCCTGAAATGAAACTGACTTGCATCGCTTTAGACGTAATCGAAGGTCTTAATTACATGCATGGCTTGGAGCGTCCTGTTGTGCATCGTGACTTAGCAACAAAAAATATATTGCTAACAGAGCATGGTAATGCCAAGGTTGCAGATTTGGGAGTGGCCAAAATATTTGAAGCAGGCTGTGAAATGCATGCCACCAATGTTCCAGGAACACCGCTATACACAGCTCCTGAAACATACCCTGTCATGAAGCAGTTTGAGGTGGTAGGAAATGCAAGGTATGGCCCAAAAGTTGATATATTTTCTTTTGGTGCAGTGGTTATGGCTATGATTGTTGGACATGAACCAAGTGTGTGGCCGTTAACTCCAATCACCAACGGTATGTTTTGATGCGAGCATTCTTCATTCCATAAGTTGCAGTCAAAAAGGCTGCCTGACTCATTTAAGAAGTGGTGAACATGTCGAGTTATTAGGGACTTTAAGATCCCACAACGCAGACGACAACAAGAACATAAAAAAAAAATTGGTTTAATTAGCAAAACAACAACTTCGCACGTGCATCACACTTTTTTGTACATATTTTCTTTCCCGTTTTTGCACGACTACGACGTGAGAATGCCTAATTTTGCATTTTATGGAGGACGTAAACAAGCAACGACGAAATTTTATTTCTCTTTCTGAGCTTGAATTTGGTCCCTTGAAATTCAGCTTCAGGAGGGTTCGTCTAAGTGGGTAGGAATGATCACTATAAAGACTGAAAGAACGCAAATTCACTTTTTAAGCGACGTTCTTGTTGCTGTCGCATCATTGGATCTTAAAGTCCCTATTGATGTACACAGGAGGTTGCTATAAGCACAAAAGCACAGTTGCTTGACATTGCTTCTTGAGTGGTTAGCAAACCTCCCAAGTGCATTCATGACTTGATGATTGTACGGCTACCACAGAATCAATGAGAACAACTTTACCGGTATTAGTCCTCACAGGTAGCTGGGAAAAGAGTTGAGTGTCGTTAGTACCAATGCACTATGATGCATGCAAATTATTCTTCACAAAGTCGTTTCTTTCCAAAGGATCTTTTCACTGAATAAGTACTTTTCTGCAGGCTTTCTACAATACCTAAATCTATATCCAGTTAAGTAAGTACATATCCATGTATCCCTACAAGTAGTACTATCTGCCCAGTACAGATCCCTAGAGAGGAAGGGAAAGGAGCAGTGGTGACTGCATGTTCTTTTTTCCTAGAAATTCTATTCTAATCACAGAACTTGGTTCCAATATTAGAGACAGTTTGATATGGGGAAGTCCCAACTTAGAACTTACATAAATTTATTGATTTGATGCAATATATCAAGTAGGAGACACAGTGTTTTGTCACCAAATGAAATACTGAGAAGAATAACCAGAGTATACCATCAACTGACGTGATACAACTCACTTTGACTCTGAACATGACTACCACACAGGTTGTCGAAACGTCAGTCACTGTCAACAACAACAGTCCTATTCAGGACTACGTTCACCCAGACAATCAAACTCAACCTACTTTTGAAATGACTCCTGGGTTCAAACCTTTCACAGTTTTACTGAGAAGAGAGTTGATTATAGGACGTGCAGCGGAATACTTTTGACAAACTTAAAGGTTGTTTCATCTGGTGATGTAACACTGTGTCGAATGCTCAGTATTACTTTTCAAACAAAATGATTTTAGAAAGAGAAATTAAGGATGCAAAATTAAATGAGCAGTTTTTCATCTGATTTCCAAACACTCACGTTTCCTTTGTGTTTTCTTTATGAATTATTAATGAGTTTGAGAAGTTCATTCTGAAAAATCATTGATCAACGAAATCTTCTTTAACACCCTTTTTTCTCTTTAAGATAAAGGTAAGAGATACCTATGCTAGCCGTTGCAGTGTTGAGCAAAATAAATTTGCAGTATTGTTATACAATTTGTAGTTTGAACTTGTAAGTTGCTCTGAACAAACTGCCAATCAAAGCACCCTTTTTGCAATAGTCTGATTGTGAAGTTCCCTTCCTGGTTACCTGCAAATCCCTGCTACAATGATATGTTGCCCCATGGCCACCTCAATTTAACTCGTATATATTAAGAAGAAGTAAGGAAAAAATAAAGTAGGGGCCTTCATAAACAGGATTATATTCAAGACAGGTAACCCATCCAGTTCCTAACCCCGCCCGACACGGCTTAACTTGAGTGGCACTATTAAAAAGGTAATGTGAGATACATATCTCTAGTAAAACAGTGGACTCTTTATTTATTTGGCTGACGATCTAAGTGGCAAAGTGGATAAATGGATCTGTAAATCATTTAATTTTTTTAATCTGTTATTTTGATAGGTAAATCTGTTTTAAGTTGTTATTTAAAAAATCCGATGAAAATTTTTATTCTTTTAAGATGGTGAGATGATCAGTGAACATGTCCGACGCAAAAGAGACATCACTGAGATGGGGGAACATTTCTTGAAAGAACTGGTGTTAGGATGCTTAGAGAATGACAGTTCATTGAGACCTGACATCAGGGACATTAAAGAAGAACTTGAAAGGCACAAATGGAAGGTAGTGAAACGATCAAGTTTGCATGAGGCAGATGAAGAAGTTCAGATTGAGAAAGTTGGACGTCAACCATCATATGATTACAAGCTCAAGGTGCTTTTTATTGGAGACAGAGGAGTTGGAAAATCATGTTTATTCAATCGTTTCCAGAACCCTTTTTTCAACATTTATTTGAGCACTACAACTTTAGGGGTAGACATTGATCGAGAGTCTTTCAAATATGGGTCCAAGTTTGTCCGTTTGGAAGTGGTTGATACTGCTGGTCAAGAACAGTTCTTTTCTGTGCAGGCTATGTATTTCCGTGGCATCCATGGCATTTTCTTGGTCTGCGATGTAACTAATCGGGAATCATTTGACCACATTCCTCGATGGCTTAACTTAGCAAAGACTTATTGCACAGAAAGCAATGCTTTGATCATCATAATTGGGAACAAGACAGATCAAGCAGAGAAACGGGTAGTTTCCTCTGAGGAAGGCCATGATATTGCCAAACGTAATGGCCTAAGCTACATGGAAGCAAGTGCACTGGATGTAAACACTATTGAAGAAATGTTCAAGACCATGATTAACCTCCTTACAAGATCAGTTGATCTTGGGTCAATAAAAATTGAACTAGGTGATGCAAATGGAAAAGTAAACTTGAAACCAATGACCAAGAAGTCTAAATGTAAGTGTAGTAGAAAGTGATTTCCTTCTGTAGGTAGAACAACTAGAAAAATTAGCATTTACCAATAATTTTTATTCACAGCTGTTAGTTGTGCATGAAAAACGTGACTGTATAAATGGGACCCTCATTACTGATTGCTTAGCGCATTCAACCCCCTGGAAATTTTTGTTTTGAAACCCCATTTGAAGCTAGTCAAGCCATTTTTTGGTCACTTTCTGGCCGAAAAAAACTTAAGTGGCCCAAAATGTTGTTTACAAGTCCAACACTATGCTGGCTTTAGCCTGCGCCAAAGACAAAACAGTGCCAAAATCCTTCTCCAAGGACCGCCCACCTGCATACCACCCTTGGTACATACCATGATTGGCCTGTTAAAAAGCTATTGTTGGTTTGCCAACCAAGTTAAAATGAAATTTGAAACGTTGAAGGCAATTGAGGACCCAAAACAAAGGATCCCAGTGCTGCTTTGCTGATATTACTACCCAGGGTTTGATTACATCTGTGGCGCAGCCTATGTTGGTCCAAAATGTTGTTTTCAAGTCTAACATGTACACTATGCTATGCTATGGCTTTTGTTTTTATTTTCCTGAGTTCAGGCATGGACTGACATGGCCCCCTCTTGCTTAATATGGGGCCTGCACAGTACATGTTTGACTGTACTTGGAATGCCCCTGGTCTAGAAAACAGCTGACATTTCACGATGCCACCATTGGTTTCCCCGTAAAATGACGTCTGAGAAACGAGCGCAGAATTTCCATACTGATGACGTGTCACTACTCAGATCTGGGTAGTACTTCTGATTGATTGAAACAAATTTCCCTTGTGGCATGACCAGTCAGAAGCACTATCCAGACCTGGGTAGTGATGTGTCATCAGTATGGAATTTATGCGATCATTTCTCAGATGTCATTTCACATTTAAACAAGTGGTGGTATTGCAAGAATGCCAGCTTTTTTCTCATGCTCCTGGCTAGTTAGGTAGTAGAATTTTAAAATTTGCTTGGCACAGAAAATGTGGCAGAAAGACTTTCTTAAGAGTGTTTTTAACATAATTCTTGAAAATATCTGTTAGTTAGCTTCCTATGAAGACTTTCTTAGGGCTTTGTCATGCTTTCCTTTCCCACAAGGTAGGATTGCGTGACAAGTCAAAAGAACTTCTGCATGGTTTAGATATCACCATAGTAGTCTTGATATACACATCCTTTCAAACCTGCGTGGCAAGGGTCAGAACGAGTGGGGCGGGAAGAGAAAAGGGGGGGGTGCATTTTTCTCTCCCTTCCCTTCCCTTTTTGCACCTGCAAACTGCATCTTTTCAGGCCAGTGTGTTTGTTAAAAGAAAACTGTTAACAATAGAGATTTACAACAAGGGTAGTGACGTCAGAATTTGTTCTGTAATCATATGCCTGCTGTTGTCTGACTTTTTAATAATAACCATACTACTACTATAATAATGATAACTATGGTTAGTGTCAGTACTGAATGAACAGAAGTATGTACAAGAAAATTGAGACAAGAAGGACCCACTGAAGTTTTGGTGCCCTCTTACAGCAGCTTACACTAAACTGCCGCTTATAAGCTCCCCCACTTACAAGCCAACCCAGTTATAGGCCTACCTACCAATGTATAAACCCCCCTCCAAAATGTTTTGAAGCTTAATTTAAGAATCAGTAAATGCAAAGCCTATTTTTGTCAGCATTGCTTTAGCTTATAAGCCCCTCCTTTTATAAACCGTCCTAAAACCTCTTACAAAGATGTATAAGCCAGGGCCGGGTTGTTCAAAGCCTAGTCTGTTACACAGCCGTTTTTATTGTCGTCACGCAACGCTCCTCCCCACTATTCCAAAGCCCAGGGTTAGTGCGAAATTTCAAGTTCAGATGTAAAAGCTTAAGAAGCAAATTCAGTTTAACTTATATCTTTGTCTGAAATTTGTTCATTGGATGCTCTACAAAGAATTGGAGAAAGTTATCGGAGAAATTGCGTTTGAACAAAAGAAAAAGAATCCCGGATTGAGATGTAACCCCGGGCCAGCGCGAATCGGTCTTCGAACATCTAAACTGGGCCCAGAGCTTATAAGCGACGGTTAACGGTTTTCTTTGACAGGTAATATCCATTTGCTTGAGCATAAATACCAAATGATCGCACTATCCAGGTAGTGCTCTAATTAGGCCATTGGTAACCAGTCAGATTTGAGACTTTTTAAAATAAATAGATAAATAAAAGTGTCGTACGTTTTAAAAGAATAAGTTTACATTCTATTATGAAAATAACATCTGCAATTTTTCTGCCTCAGTTAGAAACAAAAAACTTTTAAGGAAGGCAAAGCCAACGCAAAATCTTTGTGCACCGTGCATAGGAAACCTAAAATGATAAATGTGAGGAAATAGAAACGCGATGTTATTTTATTATTTTTTTATTGCTTAATTTGTCTAGCCGATTTGTTGAAAACCAACCTTACGAAATTTGCCGTCATTGAAGTGAAATGGCGTCAAAAGGCAGGTTTCTCGGGCCCGATAAGGTCGAAAATCACCACTAACGAAGGAAAAGGAAAGGAGAAAAAGAAAGAGCGAGGAGGAATCTAATCTAGTCGGATTTTTGAAAACGTTTCCGCCAAATGGACCTTTTGTGTCCAACATTTTTCTTTCTCCAAAGTAGCTATTATAAAAGCTAACAGTGCAACCTTTGCTTTTTTCCTCTCCTCCTCCTTTCTTCCTCCTCGCTCTTTCTTTTTCTCCTTTCCTTTTCCTTCGTTACTGTGAATTTGGAGCTTGTCGGACTTAAAAAAAACCTACCTTTTGACGCCTTGTCATCCCAAAGACGGCAAATTTCATTACATTGGTTTTTAAAAAATCCGCGCCTAGATATATGTATATATATATATATATATATTTTAATTCTTTAGCTGGACGCATTCCCTCCTAGAAAATTGGAGACATCTGCTTGCGGGATAATGTTTTTGTCGTTCATAATAAAAGATTTGAAAATGTAAACAACATCTATGAAATTCCTTTCTTTGTGTAAATCTCACACTAAAACAAATCAGAATATTTATTCTTTTCCCTGAGATTTCCTGATAGCTTAGTTGAATTCAGTTTTGAACTTGCAAAGTAATCTTAAGTGAGGGATTAGAAAAATGTTATGGTAATCTTTTTTTCCGGTCCGCAGAGGCGTCACTTAATTATCTTCTATCCTGTTCAGAGGAAAACCATTTTGAAAGCAATTTACACCTGCAGGAAAACCCATCGACAATTTCCACCAATGAGCGAGAGGGTAAACAAATACTCTACCGGGTGGCGAATTCAATTGTTTTGCAAAACCGGCTTTTTCATTTTCATTCCGTTTGCAAACCACGAGTGTAAGCAGTCATTTGACAGCGGAAAGAGCGAAATCAGAACTGCTTGTTTTTCTTTTTTCCTCCCCATAACAGCTACCATAAACTAAAATGGCTAAAATGGAAAAGATACATGATGCCGAACACAAGCACAAGAAGCTTAAGTTTGGTTTGCGTTCCGAAGACGTTCCTGCTCAATTCCGCGAAATGTTTATTTGCTCCGGTTATCGCAAACCTTACGGTTCTGCTTTGGACTGTGTCAAAAGTGCTTTTCAGCTGCGAAACGAAACCGTCAACGTTTGGACGCACTTTGTTCCGTTTCTGCTTTTTCTCGTACGCTTCGCGTCCTTATTTTGGAAGTACGGCATCACCGACACTTACGTCTACCCTTTGCTGTCGTTCGCTATTGGAATATGTGGATTTTTGTTGATGAGTTCTGGCGCTCATCTGTTCAATTCCATGTCTCCTAGAGTTCGCCACATTTGTTTCTTCTTCGATTATGCAGCGATAAGCGTGTACAGTGTTGGAGCAGGACAAGCATTTTATTTCTACAGTCGCTCGTTGGATAGCGATAAAATGCTCTTCAGTTCTTCGACCATTTTTCTCAGCGTTTCTTGTCTCATCTCTGTTTTGTCAACTGCCATTTGTTGCGCCTCTCGACACCGATGGTCAAAGATGAAGTACGTTATTCGAACTTTTTGCTTCGGGGTTGCCTTTCTGTGCAATAGCGCTCCATATTTGCATCGCCTTCTCGTGGAACCGTCTGCTACACTTGAAACAGAGCACGAGCAACTGGCTTTTTCGTATTTCATGAGGCATTGCTACTTCTACCTGATTTCAGCTTTGGCAAACATGTCCAGGATGCCAGAGAGATTAATGCCAGGAGTTTTTGACATAATAGGACACAGCCATCATTTCCTACATGTTTTTACAGCCCTTGGTTCCGCCGACCAGTTTACAGCCATTCAGATTCAAATGGAGTCGAGACGCAACGATTTGGAGCGCTTTCCAGTAGCAACTTTGGCGAACAGCTTAGGTTTAATGGTAGTAATTTGTTTAATTAATTGTGGGATTGTATTAAGGTTTGGCAGTAAGCTACGATCAGATAAGGAAGAAGAGCATAAGGAAATTTAATAGATTAAAATTAAACGCTAAATTTTTCTTTCTTGCATATCGATAAAAGCGGATTTATTGACCAATGGTTTACAATAATTTTTGCAGGTGCGTAGAGTTATTAGATTACTCCGTATCACGGATATGCACTAAATTGCGCTTTAGTTATTTTTGTAACGCCAACCATTTTTATCATGGCTTGAGACGATTTCCCATCATAAAAATGTCGAAATTTTGTAAAAGTGGAAATATTTGCTATTTCTCTTTAGCTTAACCTGAAAGGAAAAACTACTTGCATAGTTTTATATAAAATTAAGACATTTGAAATAACAGTAACTTATAAAAAATTCATGATTGCAAAAGATCCTTCTTGAAATTATGCAAATAATTTGGATTAATATTTCACCTGTTATTTTTGCTTGCTTCTTTGAAATAAAGAAAAAAAAGAAAGAATGTGAACGGTTGAATGACTTTTTTTGCTTAAAAACCTTGTCTTCTAAAATGTCCTATTCATGAAGAAATGAGAACCTTTATTTGTGTGAAGTTGTCAAACAATTTGGCCCTGCCACGGGCAGTCCAACAAACAGGGATCACTGGGCGGGGTTTAAAAATTGGGGGAGGAGGGTGGGGACTAAACTGGACCCGTAATGCTCTTTAATCTTCCAGGGAAATTTGACATCTTGGTGACCAGAGATGGCTTCTTTCAACTTGAAAAGATAAAAACTGAGGTAAAATTGTTCCAAACTCAAAAACATTTAAGATGGAATGGACTACCTTTAATATTGGTACTTAGATCTACTTAATTTCGCGTTTTTCGCCATTGTAAAAAAATCGCGAAATTAAAGTCCTGCGAACTAAAATCCTCGTGAAATTCAAACACTCGAAAGTTAATACCTGAAGATCCATTCGAAGATTTGCAGTGGTCAGATGATGTTTAGAAATGTTGCGGCGAGCAACTCATTTGCTTGTTCTAGTTTACCTAACCAATTTTAAAAGTTCAGACATTTTGTGAAAATAAAAAAAAGTTGACAACGTTTTATTAAATCGCGAAAATTTATGCCCTTTTTTCATATTTCCCTATTGAAATCATGGAAATAAAACCTCGCGAAATACTATCTCGTCAAAATCGCGAAATTAAGTACCCAATAAGTATGTTCATGGTGGTAAAATAGCTTCCAACTTCTTCAACGAGTTGCTCTTTGTTCGACGTCGTCGCGGGTCGGACGCTTGATCTTCTGACGCTTGAAACAGTTATCATTGGCCCGAGCCTACATGACCACAGCACTTTTCAGTTTTCTAAAAGACGTGTTGACTGTTTCGAACATTATCTCCATTTTTATCCGTGCTGAAGTTTGTCTCCGTCAGGTTATTCATGCAGGTTTCCATCGGATGGGAATATACAGCGTCAAAAGTGAGAGTCAAACAATCGATTAAAATGTGTGGACGTCCTAGGAATTAGACTTCCGTTTAATTACATCCTCTAAAAATAACTTAACCCTTTGAGCCCTATGAGTGATCAGCATCAAATTTGTCCTTGCATCAATTTGCAATGTTTTGTTAAACAGAGTGGTCATGAGAATTACGGACATGATCACAGAAGATAAATTTACCAATACTTAACATTTTATCAACTTCTCGCCACTACTTCGGTAGGACATGAATAGGGGCAACAAATGAGAATTCAAATTTTGATCTTAGTGTTTCAAGGGTCAAGAGAAATTCACATGTCCCAGTCAACGCCATAAGATTCCCTCTCTGTCTTATACCATTCTCTCTTGACAGCGTTGGTAGAAGAAAGAAGAATGGATGAAGAGCAGTAACAGAATTTTATATCGGAGCCTACAAAAAAAACAACACAATCATTTGGGGAAACATTGATCCAAAAGCAAATTTGCTGGGGCAGAAACAAAAGTAGCCTGTGTACAGACGTCCCCCCTCCCCCAGAAAAAAAGATTTTTTCTGAGGGAGGGGGGACGTCTGTACACAGGCTAAAACAAAGGTTGTTAACTCGATTATTTTACAGTCGAAAAATCTAACCGGCCTTTCAGGAACAAACTTTGAAATCAGTGGCTTTACTGATGATCCATATAAAAGAAATAAGAAGAACAAAGAGTTCAGTAAGGGTGGAAAATTTGGAACTGAAGTAATTTTTGTTCGTTATGAATATGAAAATAAACTAGGTAAAACATTTTATTTCGACTATCTCAGAAGAAATAAAAGGAAAACGCAATCTGATGCCAAATCTAGCGTATCTGATCTGATACGAATTAGAGAAGATCATGAAATATATTAAGCAAACTGCAATCTGATACCGTATCGGTATCTGATACCGTATCTGATCTGATTTCCACTTTGCTAGTCTTCCTCTTCAGAAAGTCCTCCGCCAGGACCACAGTCTTGGACAGAATAATTAACAATTATTCCTCGAGCCCGATTGGGTTTGCCGTCTTCTTTTCTCTCCCGTCCTGTTGCCGTAAGTTCTCTAATGGCTCTTGATGTGTACAAATAGATGGGTTAGATACATTACGCCGGCATATTTTTGGGCATAATGCTATGGTGGGAGCATCGAGCATAATGCCGGCATAATGGCCATTTTTTTCAGCATAAAGAGAATGATAATGAAAAAAATATATATATTTCCATGACTGTTCTGATAAATTTTTACTTTCAAGTGCTTTCAGTGAGAATTGACATGAGTTTAACCATCCTGTTACATCCTGTTGCATCAGTTACAAATTTCGAACTGACAGCCATGATGGATAGCCACCTGAAAAAGTGATGCAACTGTGCGACAATACATAGAAAGTAGCAATCAAGCCTTTGAATATGTTAAACTCCATCCTCGGGGACCCAGGGGCAGTTAGTCGGGTCGATGAAATTTTCGTGGTGAAAGTTTACTGTAAGATCGAGACGAGCGATCGTACAGTAAACTTTCACCACGAACATTTTATCGACCCGACTAACTGCCCCTGGGTCTCCGAGGATGGAGTTTAACATATTCAAAGGCTTGATTGCTACTTTCTATGTATTGTCGCACAGTTGCATCACTTTTTCAGGTGGCTATCCATCATGGCTGTCAGTTCGAAATTTGTAACTGATGCAATAAAGTGTTGTATTCTGAATTCATGTCTTCGGGGATGGAAAAGGGCATCAAATACAGCCAAGATCAGTCGAGCATACTAGGCATAATGCTAGCCCCGGGGCTTATTTTCGGAATTTTACGGTACTCCATAATGATGCTAAAAATAAATGAAAACGCCGCTGTTGCACGCTCCGGGGATTTCCTGGTCCCTTGAAACGCGCCATTTTCCCATCCTTGATTTGGGTGGGGAGGGGGTGAGTTGATGTGACGTGACACTGGAAAACGTGACATCGAGGAGGCAAAATGGCGGCGGGCGAGTACCTCGTTTGCTTCTCAGAAAAATGTGAGAAAGAAGAAGTCAAACAATACTTTGTTGATTGTTTGAGTCGGGCTAAGTTTAGTGTAACCCGCGAAGAATTCGAGGGGAAAACATTATTGACTGTTGATGCACCATTTGAGATACTTGCAAATAAGGTGAGCTTCAAACCGCGCTGGAGACGAACTGAATGCATATGTTACGTTAATTTGGAACTTTAAAATCGTATTCTCCAGTTTCTCCTCTCGCAAGAATGAATATGGTTTGAATTTAAGCTTAAAGATATTTTGCTGTACTAACGAATTGTTTTGTTTCAGGCGGAAGATGTTGGTTTGAAGAAGACCACAAAGAATGAAAACAAGGCGAGTTGTTTATGAATTTGAATTATTTATTTATATGCACGTTTATCCTTCGTCTATTAAAAACTGGATTTTAATAATTATATCCTTTTAATCACTAACTTCATTTCGGTAGCAATCATAAGCTTTGGTACTCGTATATAAACATTTCAAAATGAATATCCCCATCACTGCGAAACAAAACTACCTTCTTCTTTTTATGTTTATCTTAGTTCAATTTTTAACAGGGGTTAAGGTTCTAGGCTTAATTGCAGAATACTCTGCCACGGTTCTACAGTTTAACCACTGAACTTTCAAGGGCACTATGTATATGTTGTTGTTAATTTTTTATTTCAGTTAATTTTTATTTTTTCATTGTTTTTGGGTATTGTAACGTATGCTAATTAATTTAAAACAAAGGGAAAACAAATAAAATAAATAAATCATAGGATAAAAAATTAACTGCAACATATATATGGAAGGATCCCAATACCAAAATAAACTTATACCCTATTTGAGGATGGTGTGCCTCAAAAACAATTCTCCGGCCCCAGTTGTTGAAAAGGTGGATAACGCTGTCAAATGGCAGGCAGTATCTCTTCTCTGAGGTTCCACCAGCTTTATTTTCCATCTGTCTACCAGTTTTCTGGCTGTTAGCCAGCACAAACTTGAGGAAGCATTCAAACCTTGAGCATTCTGAGGTGACACTTTTTATTCTTGTCTTTTTTCTTTAAGGTTAAAGAATTTGTTACAGAAGAACTTGACAAGTTTGCTGGAAGTGACAATCAAGAAACTTTATTTACCCCAGCAGAAAGGGTATACTTGCTTGAGATCTGTCTGGAATCTGTCCAGTATGACAAAGTAAGTTGTGTTGGCAGATTTTGCTTGTAACCATCAGACCTAGTGCCTGATGCCATTATCATACCTATTGTAGAATGTATGTTTTATGCTACAATTCAGTTCTCCTTAGTTGGTAAAATGTTAAGATAACATTTTTGAGTGATATGCAATGGTCCCATAGGGTAATTGGTTTGTTCAACAATTAATAATAATAATAATAATAATAATAATAATAATATTTATCGCTTTTATTGCGTATTTTAAGATTAAAAGATATATTATCAAATGCGCACCCAATTCACAATCAAAAACCTAACACTGTACGTATTTTCATTTCTCTTACATAATATTTCTAGGGGTGGATCATAGATCATTTTTCATTGTTTTGTGAAAATGTCATGGAGAATCTGAATGGTCTGCCTTTTAACAATAAAAAGAAAACGTGGTACTTTCCTGGTGCAAATATTCTGATCTTGCTGAAGCCTTTAGCCCTTGTATTCTAACTTGTAAACTATCATGTTTTCACTTAGACCACATCTGTCTTCTGAATTTAATTTGAGTAGAACAAAGTGGCTGTGGGTCATTTTGGAGTAAATTATGTTTGCTGTAATAGTTAATGCAAACATTTACCCCAACATGTCCCACGGTTTGTTGTACCCAGAGTTCAGAAAACAGATGGAGATCTCAGTAAAAACTTCATAGTTTTTTTAATTTCAGCTCTCTTATTTCCTCCTTCCTATCACTTGTGACCAGGTTGGTGGTGTTCATACAACAATTTTATTATTTCAGGAACATCTGGCTTCTTATGGTATCAAGTTTAGGGGGAAGGACTCATTCATTACAGACTGTCTGCATTCTAAACCTCCAATCTTAGAGTCAGCATTTCCTCTTCATCACCCTCATGAACAGGAAAAAATTTGGAAAAAAATGAAGCAAAATGTGATTGTATGTCCTTTGCAGGAGATAAGAGATTACTATGGTAACTTCACAATATTATTACTGTGATCCTTAGTATTATTCATGTCATTATACTGCAGGGTGCAAAGAAAATCATTTTTACAGCTTGCCATTCGGGCAAGCTGAAGTTAGAATTTACTAGCCCAGACATCATTTCAACTAGCCCCAAAGGCCTTTTGATGAGCAGAATTGATTTCACAGTTCTTTCTTTATTCAAATTGCTCAAAAAACATCGCTTGCCCGTTGGGCAAGTTAAAAACAGAATTCACTAGCCCGATAGCAAAATCTACTAGCCCTGGGCTATCGAACACTGTACTTTCTTTGCACGCTCTACTGTCGATTCAAGTGGTTACATAATTATGATGGTACAAGTGAGTGTTCAATTAGTCCTGAATTAGGACTGTTGGTTATTATGGTAACTGAATTTTGGCAACTTGCACAGATGCCATCATCAGAGACACAAAGAGCTGTTTATCATCATTTGATGATTAAACTTGCTATATTGACCTGATTAGTACAAATAATTTAGTCAAGTCTACATTATTTTTAAAATGCATTGGTAGTCTGTCAGTTAAGCAGTAATGTTAATGCCTGTCAAGAAGAAAAATAGGACAAGAAAATATAGAAGTGGGGAGAAAGGAAAAGTGAAATGTTAAAGTTGAAAGTGACAGTGTCTCTTTTGTTTTTTCCCAGAACTTTAACTCAACATATTGTCCTCTGCAACCATGCCTAAACTTCAGAAACTGTAAATTGTAATATCAAGAACAAAAACCTTCAATTCTGGACAAAAGTCCTTGGGACAGTTATGCAATATTCATAACTGCCTATAATTTTAGATTTCCTTCTTAACGCCTTGCTATTTTCCTCGCAAATGCCTTGCAGATCCCCCTCTCCTACCCTATACAATTTTGAAATTTAAAATCAACCTTGTATGGGGTGGGAGAAGGGAATCCAAGACATGTGTAGTATAAAAAAGCTTTTGTTCATGACTTTTAAGGCATACTGCTGTGACAACATGTTGGGGGTTTTGGTTCTTTTTGGCTTGATATTGACGAAAAAATAGCCTGGATTCCAGGTAAATGGGTGCATAAAAAATTGGGGTAGATACCTCCTCTTAGCCTGAGAAAGCTGACATTTTTCAACATCATTACTGATTTCCCTGCAAGATGGTGTCTGAGAAACAACTGCAAAAAATTCCTTACTGATGAAATGTTAACTCCCAAATCTCAGGGTAGTGATTTTAATTAATAATAATAATAATAATTTATTACTTATTCGGCGCAAATATCTATATGAATATATTCAAATGCGCCTTACAAGTTACATTAAAATAATAATAAAATAATAAATCTAATATAGTAAAACTATCCAGTCCATATCTAATAAATAAACTAAAAATTACACAGAGTCAAAAATGTAAAATTCTAAAAAAAATAACAAGCATACGCTTTCCTAAAAAGATGAGTTTTCACTAAGGACTTAAAAACGTCCATTGTCTTAGCATTTCTAATGTCATTTGGGAGACCGTTCCACAATTGATCAAGCAAGTTTGCCTTATGGCATGACCAGTCAGAAGCATCTATTTAAATTTCATTTATTCCAAAGTTGACAGCAATTACAATAATTACCACATACACACACGGACTACACACCTAAAAACACATGCATTATACTATACAATCACTACCAATCAGAAGCTAGCATGCAACAAGTCATTAGGATAGAATTTTCTGTGCTTGTTCGTCAGACTTTATTTCATTGCGAAACAAGTGGTGGCGTAACAAAATGTTGAGTGTGCTAAGGCTAACCTCCTCTTGCATTTGGCCATTGTATTGAGCTATTTTTTTTATTGTAGGTGAAAGTGTTGCCTTCTATTTTGGATGGATGACATGTTTTACCTGGACTTTAGTACCAATAGCATTTGTAGGGATTCTGTTATACTTCTTTAAGCCTCGTGGTGTGACTGTGGATGACAACCCTCTGTTACCATTATATGAAATACTGATGGCTTTCTGGGCAATAAGTTTTCTTGCTGTGAGTAAACTGTTTACTTGAAAAAAATAGAGACAAAGCTCTTATTTCAACTAGATTGGATATTTGAAATTTTTTTACACATTGTATAAGTGAAAGGCCTACGTTTCATCCTAGATACATGTACATTGTACATACATGTGGGCCAAGAAATTTCTTTATAAATTATGAATATTGTAGCAGGGCTGGCTCACCAGCATTATTAAGGTCCAAGTCAGAGTTCCGATAGCAAAAGAAAAAGGTGTTTTTGTGAGTTGACCTGACTGCCACTCAACCTCGCTTAGAGAATTTCACATCATCGTAATTGTGTAGTAATGGCAAAGAAATTTACCAAAGGTGTGATACACGTGCAAAGTGTCATTTTGTATGTCAAATGTGTTGCTTTTTTGACATTCCGGTTGCTATCATCATGATGATAATCCTCCCAAAAAACACTCAAACAAATCTTGAGCACACATATTGCAGTTTTATTCATGGTTGTCTTACACCAATACCCCCTGTTCAAAATACATATGTGTTCAAATAACCTTTAGAAACCTAAGTTTGGTGAATAATGCTATAGTTTGCACATCTCTGTCAATTAATCCACGGTTCAAGCCACTATTAATAATAATTATTCAGTTGAAGTTATTATTTTTCCTGTGTCCTTTCAGATCTGGAAGAGAAAAGAATCAGAATACTCCTTCTTGTGGCGCACGCATGGCCTTGAAAAATCAGAACTACTACGTCCAGAATTTACTGGTAAAATGCAGCCAAGCCCCATCACTGGCCAACCTGAAAAGTACTTTCCCAGGTGGAAAAGATGGCTGCGTTATGGCTTAAGTTTTGTTCTTACGTTGCCAGTTCTTGCCTTGGCCGTTGGTGCAATGCTGTGTTCACTTAATTTTAATGGTTACATCAAGGACAAAGAAAGCCCTGTTTACATTGCTGCTTTTGCTCACTTTGCAGAACCTGTAAGTCAGCTTAAATTTAGTTTTCTTTCCATTTCTTTAAATGTTGTTGAATCCTGTTTTTTTTGACTGAAAGAAAATTTTTTTGATCCTTCATGAAATTCTCCCCTTGTTCCGCAAGCCATCAAAAAAAAAACCTGATTGGGAGAGAAATGAAAACCTGAATTTAATTTTGACCTGTAACATATATACCTATTTATTTTGATGTCACGTGATTGTTTTTTATCAAACAAAAATGTTGAGGAACAAATATGACAGATAAATTATCCCACTTAAAAAAAATATTTCCTTTGGGTTCAGTAGCTGGCCAGCACTTCCATCAGATTACTAGACAATAATTTTTGCCTGTTGACAAACTTCCGGATAACCAGCTGTGTGTATGTTTATTTTAATTGCCAGATTTTATATTAAAAATCAACTTCTCATTTTAATGTTTTCAGTTTCACCGTTTGAGCTATTTTTCATGTTTAAAATATTTATGGTAGAAATACACAGATCTCAGATAAAATGTAATCACCTGATTCTTTTCTTGTTTTCAGGGTCACATTTTTGCAGCTGATAATGAGTATTATGGCTATTTAATTCCTACCATTGGTCACTCAGTTGTGATCAATATTTTAAACAAACTTTACCGCTCTGTTGCACACTTTTGTACTGACCTGGAAAATCACAGGTATATGCGGATGACCATTGCATACATGTAGTAGTTGTGCGTGAAAGTTTTTGGCTTCTGTATCCATACCAAATTAAATGATGATGTAAATTACACTGTACTATACAGAGATAAAGGGAACCTTTTCTCTTTTTTTGTAGTCTTGATTTTCAGACTCTTAACTTTGACAGAATTCTCATTTGACCTTGAGAGGTTGTCAAAACATTTAGAAAAACTTCACTTAATGTTTGCACTTAGTAAATTTCTTTTTCAACTTGTTTAGCAGCTCTTTATCTCCCATTTGCAAGTGATTAAAATATCTTATTCAGTACCTTTTATTCATAGTGGTGCTCAATGCTCATGGTGTCTTCTTGTTTTCTGAAACATTAAGCTTTCTTTGATGCTCGTTATGTGTAGTACTTTTCCGTGTGCAAATATGTAGCTATTCTGTAAAATACTGTCACATGTATACTAAGGTTTTCTATTCACTTACTAAAGGCTTAATTTTTAATGTCTTTGCTGGGGTGGTTCTGATTTTACAGCATTCATTTCATCCATGGTTTACTAATTTCCCACTGTTTTGTTGTATGATAATGTATGGTTTGAGTTTACAACATGATGTAAGGAGAATTTATGAGCATTTTGTAGCGTCAACCATTTTTTGAAAAATAACCTGGTCTAATTTATACTGTTTGTCCTGTCATTTTCTCCTTTTAATCAGGACAGAGAGAGACTGGGACAACTCACTCATCATAAAGCGTGTACTTTTTGAAGTTTTTGACTGCTTCCTTCCCTTGTTCTACATTGCATTTTACCAACTGAATGTTGTTGCTCTGCGGAGGGAATTGGTTGGATTATTCTGGGGTATGTGCAGTCATTTGTTCTTTGATGTAAATGACATTTGATAGAAATGGGCTGAACAGTTAGACAGTTTTTGACTTGATATACAGTGAACTGCAAATCAGTGACCAACCGTCCACCACTTATTGTTCTTTCTACTAGACTACACTTACATGTAACATTTAACAGACACATAGACTGTACAGAAGTACCTATAACATTTGTTTAACATCCAACTATCTCTGAGTCCCAACCCCAAGAGGGGCAGGGTGGGTTGGGGTATGAGTTACTTGTCTGAATGTCTGAAGTTTTGTAATTTCCCATTCACACCAAAGCTTAAACATGACTGTTTAAAAGCTGTTTAGTAAAACATGGTCCAAAATAATATTATTATTGTTTTCATCATAAAAGCTGCTTACTGACTTATGGCTATTTGCAGATTATGTGTAAATTACAGAGCATGTTAAAGTTTATTGCATAATGAGTAAAGGTCTCATTTTGAGTTTCTAGAGTATTTTTTTTAAACCTGGTTTAATTAAACATTCGTAGTTGGTGTGAATGCAGCATAAGCCAGCCTAGCTAATTGAATAGAGGACTTATTGTGTTCACATGTAATTCTTTTAAGGTGATGAAATCCGACGACTAATAACAGAATCACTTGTCCCGTATGTAACTGAAAAGGGTCATGTGTGGAAGATACGGAGAGAGTATGCCAAAAGCAAGAAAGACTCAGATGAAAAACCATTCATTCCCTCTCAGGTCAAGAACAAGCTTTTTATAAACTTACAGGATAAAAATCAAAATTATTATTTCATTCACATTATTAAATCAGGAAAAAGCTAAAGCACCTCTCTGTATTTGAACTGCTACACTGAAGGAGTCATCTACATTCTCCTTGGTTGGATTAATCCATATTTTAGGCTTCATATTTATACAAACAACATATTAATACAAACAACAACCACAGAAGATTTCTTTCATTTGGTTATTTTTTCATTTCTTTTTGCAGATGAACTGTTTAGTTTCTTTGATTGCATGGTCAAAACCTCTGTGTTGAACCAATTGTTGAACCAATTAGTTACTGAACCATTAGTTACATGCAATTCTGTTAAGTTTGCAATAATTATTGTAATCTTTAATTCTGACTTTGTTATTTTTTATCAACAATAATATTAACAGGCTCAACAAGACATTGTTTTAGAAGAATATGAACAGTTTGATGATTATCTGGAAATGGTTGTACAGTTCGGGGTAAGTGTCTAATTTGTTAGTGGTCCTTCGTAAAAAATATTATTGTGCTTTTTTGAAGTGTATTGATTTCCAATTTTTTTCTTTGTTTTTTGTTTAGTATGTGACATTGTTTGCCTCTGCCTTCCTACTTGCTGCTGCTGTCAGTATTTTGTTCTTGTTCATTGAGGGAAGAGCTGACTTGTTTAAATTACTGTACATGTATCAGCGCCCAAAAGTGAGGAGGTATAATTATCATTACTTTATTTTAGAATAAATTATGATCAAAGCATATTTGGTATGATGGAAAAAGACAGGAAACAGTGAAACCATAATCTGAAAACCCTGTTTTGTAGAGCTTTGCCTTTTAACCTAGCCTGCGTAGCAAGCGTTTCCTCGCGAGGTTCGTCAAGAAAACTGGGACAAGAGCAAAAAAAAATGAATGACGGGGGAGGGGGAGGGGAATGAAGGAAAATAACTCGATTGGAAACGCTTGCTACGCAGGCTACTTTTAACCTTGAAGGAGAATCTGTAAATTAGGGCATGTTCACTCAGTAATCTCATTCGGTGTAAAATTATCATCATAGAAGAATAAAATAATGTTTGTGGGTCATGAGCATTTATTTGAACGGTACCTTATAGTTCAAAACTTTCTAGGCTTGATGAATTGTTATTTTAACTTACACTACAGGGTGGCCAATATTGGTGTGTGGTTCAACGTTTTATACTGTATGATGGTACTATCCATGCTCACAAACAGTTTAATTGTTGGATTTTCATCTGAGCAACTTGCTGTTTGGTGTCCGTGGATGTATGAGACAATTGACAATGACCAATTCATTATTAATGGTTATGGAAGGTATGCTGTTGTTGGAACTATAAAAAATGTACTTTGTGAATATTATGTTGTTGGTGAAAAGAAAGAATGTATCGAAATCAGATTCTTAACTTTGAAGTATTCTGTGGATTCTTTCTCATGGGTAAAATAAAAGAAAGATAAAAATTCAAAAAAGCAATTCTGAAATCTAGAGATTCAAACACTGGCTTATTTTTGGAATTTCATGTGTTGTTTGTCTGTTTAGATATAAGGGGTAACTTCAGACAGTCAGTCAATCATACAAGTCACTGACATAGGCTGTATGCAGAATACAATAATTGGATTAATATATATTATTAATCTATAAATGCATCTTTCTTGATGCACCTTTTTTCTCTGTAGGTATGTTGTGGCCATTGTGTTTTGTATTGAGCATTTCCTGATCCTTTGCGCTGTAATTTCAAGGTGCCTGGTTTCAGAAAAACCCAAGTGGGTGCGAATAGCAATTGCTAAAGAGGAGTATGACAAGGCACAGGAAGCCAAGGAGAGAAAAGAGAAACATGAGTGAATTAGTCAGCTTTTACATCACAAAACTTCTCTGTTATAATGTTGCTGGAAATGGTTTGCAATATTTAATATGAAATTCGCTTACATTCTTATAAAATTGAATTGATTAGTACAGAAAGCCATCACATAAATTTGTACTTTCAAATAACTTATTTCTTGGAAATGACATAGGTTAATAATAAATAATTATTTATAACTCAAAACTTTTTTCGACCACCATTTAAGTCAAGGATCATTGCAATTTTTGGTACAGTGTTACAAGGTTTTCTAGGCTATGTCATGTTTGCACTGAGGAAATAAATAAATTATTATTTATGCTTTTGTGGCATTGCCTTATTGTTTTTGTCAGATGAATATATTTCAACAATCTGAATCACTCTTTCAACTCCGTAACATTAACTTATCAATCATTCTCACATTAATTCAGCATCATCATTAATAATTTGCATCCTGTCTGCTAATGACGCTAATGACATTGTAAAGCAAGTAGTGAGAAAAATTGCTTTGTGAAAGTACACTAGATGCCCTCTGGTCTTAATCTATAGCCACATAAGTCTGTTTAAATTAGTGCATGCACACTGATTCAGTTTATACGGGGGTCCACACAAAAATGATATTTGTACAGGTAATAGCATGATTAGTAGTGATATTTGGCATAAATACCACGAATGATATTTCAAAATTGTTATACATAATTTCACGAGCCTTTAGGTGAGTGAAATTTGAGACAATTTTGAAATATCACTAGTGTTATTTATGCCAAATATCGCGTACAAATAATGCTATTATTTGTTTATACTACTACACACTAGAGGTTTGTAATTTTCACATGTAGGTATTTCAAATTGAGCTGAAATACCCCTGCTCTAAGCCAATCAAATTGCAGAAATTTCTGATGTAGTAGTATAAATCCGTTAACGAACTTATCCATTCTGATTCACCAGACTGTTTGTAACCGTTCGCGTTTGGACGGACGCCGTATGTGTTTTCAGTTTAAATGGACTCGTGTGGTAATAGTCAAATGCCAGCAGGCTATTCATCATGCAAATATTTCATCTCCTGAAAACAATTCTATTTCTGGTACTGTGCTAGCCTGGCTTGGTGAGCTATCCAGTCTTCTCTCTTTTCTTTTGGATGGTCCAACTTCGTCCTTTTTCGTCAAAGGTGAAAAGTTCGGCACAACTTGTTCTAAGGGGAAAAATATGTTGCGCTGTTAGCTTTACATTACGTGTTATCCTCTTAGGGTAGTTTTCTTTTGACACTGGTTTTCTTTTTACTTTGGTCGGTAAACCACCACGGAATTAAAGGAACAAATGTTGGTTATACATGGTAATGAGATGAAGGAAAACACGGATCAAAAACCAAATCTGAATTCGCTTATAATTTTTTTCTTTAATGCTGAAAAGAACATGTCCGTTGTAAAACCTTCACGTACCTTTCTGTAGAACAGAAGAAACGTTGTCCACGCTCGAAATTCCGTGTTGATGCAGGGGTGTTGATGGCGCAGAAATAGATGGGACAACAGGGGTAGGCGAGTGCAAATGTTGGTCAGTTAACAAGTATGGCGACCGTAGCATCGCATTTCGTCCTGCAATGAAGACAAGACTTGAGATTAGGGGTACAAAGGAGCAAAAGAGCGATTCAGTGTGTTCTCAGTTTCACCTTGATAACTGCTTGCTACTGGAAATTGCACTTCCAGAACAGGTTCCTCTTTTGGAGATGTGAAAAAGCTTATAATTAGGTAACCTGAGATCAGACTCAAATTTTCGTTTCGCTTTGTGATAACATTCCGGCGGGCAAGGCGAAACGAAACCAATTTTAGCGGTAGCCGTTAGAGAGAATGTATGAGAACCGCTAAAATTGGGCCTGATCTCAGGTTAATAATTAGGTTGTAATTGCATGCATAAACAAACAGCATGTCAACAAATGATTTTTTTAAAAATTAAATGAATTATAGCCATATGATTTAACTTGCGATGTTTATTTTTATTTTTAGCCTTTTGAATTATTAAAGTAGTTTACAACATACCATACGTATGTCTGTGAAAGGTTTGAACCAACCCAGGAGTCATTTCAAAGGTAGGTTGAGTTTAATCGTCCGGGTGAACGTAGTCCTGAATAGGCCTGTTGTTGTTGACAGTGACCATACGTATATTAAACATGATACATCAAACGTTTCTGTTGACTTTCTTTATAGTACGTCCAAAGCAGTCTTTTTCCTTACCATTTTGAAGTAAAACACCTCCTGTATATCTGTTTTCCCTGAGGGTATCAATGTCGGGAACAAATGGCGCAGGTGATTGAGTAACCTGTGTTCTCCGTGGCAGAAGAAACGGCGAGTTTGGAACGTGTTGGTACAGGAACGGAGAATGTGCGAAGCTTATTGGAGCAGTCATTGTAGCTTCTGTTCATAAAGTTGTAAGGAACAAATAAAGTTGGTTATTAAGTAATAGGGAAGACCGAAAGAAGAGATTGGTCCTATAAATAGTCACTGCATGATCTCTTGCATTTAATTTCATATTTTATCAGCTTCTGTTGCAGGTCACAAGGCTGTGTGTTAATTTTCAACATCTTTGTTAGTTGTTCACAGAATTTTTCAGTGTAATCATGTACCTGACTTTTGACTGCTGACTTAGTCGACTTAGACAAGAACTGAGATTTCTCCGACCATTAGTACAAGAATTTTCCTCCGAACTTTCCTTACTCAGTCGTGACCTGACTGTTATCCGAAATCATTTAAGCGACCACCCTTAATTCTCTCGACCAGAAATCCACTTGCCCTCGAATTTATTTTCTACATCGAGTAAGAATTGTTGCCAAAGGGTTTAAGTTGACCTTATTTATCTGTCCGATGTCGGCTGGACCTACGATTGACTTGAAAACAGCGAAGTCCTTCAAATTCAAAATGCAACTTGGATTTCGGCGAAAACATCGTTCAACACTGTTCCTTTTAAAATGTTTAAGACCGAAGTGGTTTTAGAGGTTCTCTAAGGTGCAAATGAAATTTACCTCTCTGCTAACAGCTGAACTTTAAGGAATCCTTGCAAAGTTGTAGGTTATAGGTTAAACTTAGATAACCATCTTAAAAACGTTTCCAAACTTCTTGCTGTCAAATTCCTCTTCTCTTTTCTCTGGAAAGTTCCCGCTCATATTTCCCGCCAGTTGGAATAGGTAAAGTCGGAAAGATTATCGGAGAATATTAGCCAATGATAGTTAGTAACCTCACCCGGAACTATTGTCGGTCTTACTCGGGAAGATTCGGAACTCCCTGCCAGTAGGTCAAAATGGCGGATCGACAGACAAAAGTGCTAAAAATGGCGTGTGTGTAGTAAGGGTTTTTCGTTGCTAGTGGAGGATTTAAAAGTATTATCTTTTGGCCAATGAAGAGCTAAGGACAAGGAGAGTTCTTGCAACGGAAAATAATCACGAAAAATGACGTGGGGTTTGCTTTAGCGAGTGGTGGTAGTCCGTGTCTCTGTCACATCTCACATGATCTCAGTAAAATGTTTGGAAGAAAAAAGAACGCATTTGCGACATACTCGAAAAGTAAGCCAGTTCAAATTGCTACGAAGGACCACTTCCCCACTCCAGAAACGCCGGATGACTTGTGGATACCTTCTTCAAAAGACAAACCGAACTCAAAACAAGCAGCTTTTCCCCCAGTGAAAGCTAAAGGCAAGTAAATATATTTTGAATTCAAAGAAGGGATTTTCCTTTGAGCCTTAAATTTGCGAGAAAATGTATGGCTGTTTTTTTTTATGTCTTTTAATTAGTTCATGGCAAAGGCACTGATGAACCGTGTAGAAATTAATGACATTAATGGCCCAGAGTCATTAGACTTGACCTAGATTCCAAAAATGATCAAGTATAAAACTGGGCAGTACCGCTGTAGGACAAATAATTGTGCAGAAAAACACAAGTTTTTTTGCACCAATCAGAAGCCAGAACGGCGGCGACGGTTTGGAACTGGTCTGGTAAGACATTGTCCCCAGGGCCTCTTCTCTCCTTTCTTTACTTTTCTTTTGTGCCATATTTTCCCACCCGTTTAGACTTTCCCTCGCCCCCACTATCTGCCCCTGGGTCTCCGAGGATGGTAATTGGTGTTTACTCCAGTCAGGAAAATAAGAGCAAACATGGCATGGTTAATATTTATTGTTGTACCAATTTCACAGCTTCAAATAACTATATCCACAAAGTGATAGCTGTTACTTGTATTGTCAGAATTAATGCAGCAGTCATTAGTTCCAGCAGTTCTAGTAATCCCATTAGCCCTGAGTGATTTGCTTGTTCAAAATGGGTGATTCCAGAAAATATCCATACCATACCACGGACGGCTTCCATATTTTCATCCCCCATTACCTTCAGAACTCCCAAGATGTGTTATCCCCCATGCCCTTGGAATGCTATAATTGTTAAACCCCCTACTGTTTGGATTTTCCATATTTTTGTCTAATTTTCAGACCTACGGGCAAGATTCGAAGATATACATTGCCCAATTTTGGCTTATTTTACGTCAAAATATTTGAAATGACTCTACTTAGAACAGCGATGTATAAGCGCTATATAAATTCCGTTATCATTATTACTTCTGTACTTCAGTCTAGGTGGCCAGCACAAAGGAAGTCATACATGTAAATGAATCCAGAAATTCGGGAATGAAAATTCAAAAATAATTAAAGTTTTCTCCTTACCGCTGTGCAACAAATGCAACCTACATTAATTTTACTTTGCCCCAGACTGCTACATACACAACCAATAAGAATACCTTGTGATGAATGTGTGTACCCTCAGAAGATATTATTATGATCAAGTGTATTTTCATTTGTGCCATCTTGATTTGAGCCTTTGGGGTCAGCAGTCACACCCAATCCCATGAGGTTCGAGAAGTAAAATGGTGTTGTCCGTCAAAAGACCACGTTTTGCACTGAATGGACAAAATAATTTATGAGACTGTTTTCTTGAGAGAAAAATGGATGTCTTGTAGCATTAAGGCCTCTGGAGCTTGATCTACAACCCATGTTTTTTATGGTTTTCCTCGACAGCAATGGATGCTTGTCATTTATCCTGCTTCCACAGTCATCAGCTGTGTCATCAGTTTGTGCTTTATTTGTGAACTGATTAAGTCCACATAAAATAAGCATTTTCAAGGAATACAATCTTGTCTCAGTATCCCCTGTGAAAGTTCCAGATCTAAAACCCCTCCATACCTTCTAATCCCTGAGTGGTACATATGTAAGTATCCCCCCCACCATGCCTTCAGATTTTCAGTTCAAAGAACCCCCCCACTTGCCCTCAGAATTCCAAAAAGCCGTCCGTTGTATGGTCTGGATATTTTTTGGAATCGCCCAATGGTAGGGTTTCCTATTTAGGGGTTTACTTGTTTGAAGATTGCTAAGCAGTAAATCAACATCCTTGTGTTTTCAATCCTGTAGGGTTAGGGTCAGTTGGAAGAGAAGTGTGGCTTCTACTTTTTTTAAAAAAATATGTCAACCATTTTTAATCAGAATGATGTTTTACTTTTAACATAATAACAAACAGGATTGAAAACATGGATGACTCCATTTGCAGGGCGTGGTTCCAGCCTAGCTCTTAGGAACATCAGTAACATCCCACTGGAAAAGACATTGAGCAGAACTCCATGCCTGCCAAGCCAAAACTCATACAAGACAAGTAAGAAGCGATGTTGTCATTGCAAGCTAAGGCATCTTTTTTACCTTTTTTATAAATGGATGCTGAGTAAGTACAGGCTATCCACTCTACTCCATTTCTTCAGCTGGGGCAAACCCTTTCTAAGGTCTTGAAGTTAGGTTGATATTAAGAGACATGACAATACTCTAGTTGTTTATTCTAATAATAACCAAATCCTTCCAGCTCTGATCCACATATACTGGTAATTTGGTTTTGTCTCACTTCAGGGACACAGTGACTTGTATCTCAAATTTGAAAGAAGTTGAAGTGATCACCCATTTGCAGAAGTTTCATTGTGCCAAATAGATTTGTTACTGTTTCATATTTCAGATAGAAAGTTGATGTCAAGTAGTGCTTTGCTAGGAAAAGTTAGCTCCAATGATGATAAAGACTGCAAAACATACAGAAAAGAATTACAGAGGTATCTAGCTTTTTGGCAATGGTACTACAGTGTGCTTTTACACTGAGGTGCAAACTTTACTTTGCAACCAAGTGTACAAATGGGTTGCTAGGTAACCCTTCAGCACGCAGGCGTCCCATTCATTTGTGCAAGAAGTTATTATTATCCAGCTACCGAAGTGTGCTCCAGTTGTCTGGGTGCCTTGTGCTTTATTTTTTGGCCTTACCTTTTGCAACTGAATACTTGTTGTTTTTTTTGGTTAATAACTTTACAAGTGAAAATTAGATTTAACATACCAACCTGATGTGAACTGTAAGTAATAAGGTCTACAGCTCACATGTATGAAACTCAGTGATGACGGACTGGTAGCAATGGGGTGGTAATGAAGTGATTATGATTTTTGCTTTTTGTCTGTTACATCTTCTCTAGGGCTAAACTTCATTCCAAGAAGGCACCACTTATGAAATCAAAACCCCTCACCTCAACAACTACGTATTCATTCAAATCAATGTCTTCCTGTTCCATGTGTGGAAGTGTAGTGTACGGTAATGATCGTTCTTTGCCCACTGTCAAATCCATGTCGCTATGCAAGTCCTGCCTTGATGATGTCAATTCAGATGACTTCTCTTTTGGTGATGCTCCAACTAATGCCTCACAAGTTTTACAGCCACACAATTCAACACTTTTGGAGGAGGACTTAACAATTCAGCTGAGAGACATAATCCCTCAGGATTTATCAGCAATAATGGGTGAGTAGAATTTCCGTTATGATGTTTCATTTCTGCAGCAAATTAAAGCTCAAGGAGCAAAGGAAAATTTTATACTCTAGTACAGTAATAACAAGCCTTTGTATACGTAGTAGTAATGGGTAATATTCATGTGCAACTTTGGGGTAAAAAATAATTCTATTTTGACATGACTGTATTCTTAGAGGAGCCAGTAGATGAAAAAGAACAGGCTGAAGCAGCCCAAAAGAAAACAGAGGATGCACTGGGCTCATATGATCTGTTTGACAAAGAGGTGAACTTAAAGTATATTTTTGCAAAGAACCCTTTTGATCCACAACACCCCTTAAAAGGAAGCATAGCTGCATTTGTTCGAAAGGTGGATAGCTCTATCCGTGGGATAGACCTCTATCCACTGGATAGTGCAATTTGTTTCCCTAATACTTATCCACTGGATAGTGATTTATCTGGTGGATAACACCATCCATCTTTATAACAACAGGGGCCTGGTGTGTCTTTTTATCCCTGATCGGGGCTTTTATGCTGAATAAATACATAGCTAAATAAAGTGAGTGTTCTAGTATACTTTTCTTTGTCACCAAAAGTTGTACCAGAATAAACAAGCACAAAACAAGGTTAACTTTTGTTATTGCATTTACATCTCTAGCATTTCTGTCAGTATCCACTCTTGCTTCCCACTTTGCTAACTAAAATTAATAAATGTTCCGTTTTAAAATGATCCCAGGGTTGATTTAATAAAACTTTTACAAGTGTAATTTACGAGTGTAGTCATTGTTTTAGGGTCCGAGAACAATAGCCATTCTTGTAATTACATTTGTAAAAGTTTTTAATTAATTGACTCCTGAATCTTGAAAAAACAACAGTGCAATCTTTTCTCAATGATACTATGACTCTCAAATGATTAGTGGCCACTATTAGTAATTACTGACACTAAAGTCAAGAAATTAGATTGTTTTTGAGAACCTGACTAACCCTATATTAATTACTTTCATTTACAGTTTATTTTAATAATTATTATTAAATATTACTTTCCAGGAAATTGCAGATGCCCCTGATCTTCCTAGGTGTAGCACTCCAGTGGATCCAGGAAAAATACAAGGACTCAAGCTGGTGAGTTAGTTTGCTGTAGTGATAAATGGCACATTTACCTCTTCCCTTTAAATGATTTAACTGAATGTCACGAAGGAAAAAGATCATAAGAAATGAGGTTTTCTGTCAGTTACACAGGCAACCTGAAGACAATAAAAATATGTGTTCTTGCAGGAGGAGTTGAATCTATGACCTTCTGTGTGGTTACTAGTCCAAGTCAGGTGCTCTATTAACTTGAGAGAACTATCTCGTTATGCCTTTTACTACAGTAGGTTTATATGACAAAAACCTTGCATACTGCTGAGACTGGACTGTTGATAGGTGGTACATGTATATAAGCTTGCCTGTCTACCCTGAAGAGAGATAGAAGGGTCCCTGCTCACAGGGTCTTGTTCAGTTGAACCTCTTGTTAAACATTAAACGACTAGTAATATTATTAATTCATTCAATTAACAGCCTGACACCTCTGCAATAACAGTCTATAATGAGAAGACTTCTGATCCTGTGAAGTCAAAATCTAAAAGCAAAAATCAGGTAATTTTTCAAAGACCAACACGTTTTTAACCTGAAGCGGAGGAGTTTTTATAATCACTTGTAAAAATGTTTAGACCACAAAAGTGGCCTTAAATATCAATACCTCTTTTTGGCAGCCACTAGCTTCTGATGTTGCAATGTCATGTGGGGTAGGCAATCTGCAGTGCAAAACTTGGAAATAACCCTAACCAACATTAATTTTTGTTTTGAAAACCCTATCAAGTAAGGACATCTGAAATTCTAAGACTTTTAACACCTATGGAGAAAGATGAAAAAGTTATTCAGAGCAGAAACAAGAACTGAGAATTGAAATACTACGATGGGATTACCTCTATTTAATGCCACTGGCAAACACCACTAAAAGAGTATCTTATGACAACTATGGGAAGTAAGACATTTTTTATTTCTGGTCATTTCTCAGGAACCAGAATCCAGTAAAGAAGATTTGCCCAATGTTACTCCAGAGACAGTCTCCAAACAGGTAAGATATGGTCTTGTTTTCCACTTTACTGTCCATACAGTTATAAGTCTAAAGTGAATTTTGACTCTTGTTGTCAAGTGTTTTGTTTGTTTGTAATATGCTGTTAAAAATATTAAATATTCTATTATTATTATTATTATTAAAAGCAGTAATTAATTCATTGGTTTAGCCCCATAGGACATTATTTTAGTCCTTCACGTTGTTTAAGCAGATTTATCTACTTCTTCAAAGTAAGGCTTTTTTCTGTTGTACCATTACTTTGGTTTTATCTGTTTTGTTACAAAGGACTGTATCACCATGAAGAAGCTTAAACAAAAGAGAAAGTTGGCATACAGCAAGGACTTGGATGAAATACCAGACTGTACCCTGCTCCATGCAAACACCAACAGAAAGCGACCAATTAAGTTGCTTTTTAAGTGCGATAAAAGCACTTGTTCTTATAGCAGTCCTTTGACAAATGTACCAATTGATACTCTCATCCAGAGTTCAGTTGATAAAATAAAAATAAGAATAGAGCAATAAAAATCTATCAGGGGATAAAAATATTTTTATATATCGAGGATATTACACGGTGGCGCGAAGATATGAATTTTATTTTCGAGTGAGAAAACAATATTTTACAAACGAGCGCAGCGAGTAAAATATTGTTTTTGCCACAAGAAAATAAAATTCATAATTGGTTAGAGAAAACACAGGTAAAAATCTTGCTAAGAAAATTGAGACTCAAGCTTGTCAGAATGCATCCATGTAAAGAGCTCATGAAAAAGAAGGAGCACTTTATTTTTTATTTGCAATGCAAATAAATTTACCCATACCAACAAATCCTTTAGGTCTCAATGTTCATGGTTTTCAATATTTTCAGATTTTTTGGAGAGTTAAATTTACAAGAGTTAACTATTAAGAGGTCACATGATCTGCTGAAAAATTGTAGTTGTAATGCGTGGGAAGAGGTAATTGTACTTCTGCCATCAAATAAGGATATTAAAAAAATGAGCACATCTTTGAGGATCGTTTTGCCTTATTCTTCTTATGTTAGAATAAAGGTGAAATAAGATACTGGTCACTGCAAGGGCCTAGAGGTTTTACACAGCCACAATGCCATATTTCAATACTTGATTTTGATTTTGGTAGCCTGTAAGCTGGTACAGTCAACTCTTTCTAAGTCGGACACCTTTGGGGCCGGTACTAAGTGTCCGTCTAAGAGAGATGTCTGTCTTATAGAGAGTCAAATAAAGGGAGTAAAGAAAGGCAAGGACCAACTCTAGGTGTCCGTTTTACAGAGGTGTCCGTCTTATAAAGGTGTCCATTAAGAGAGAGTCAACTGTTATTTGGCTCTCACACCAGCTTTGCATTAACTTTCATGTCACTTAACCTTATTTTAGCAAAACTACTGCAAAAGCAACTTGCTTGCTCTCCAAAAAGAGAACCTATTTGCAGGGATCCTTTAGCCACATTTATATAATTACTCCTCTGAAACGGCACATGGGTAACTATTTATTCAAACCCTGCTATTGATTTATTCAGGGATGCACTTTCACTAATTATGTACAAAATTGTTCTTGTGAAAATTTACTTTAAAAAAAGCAACTACATGTACGTGTGTACAGTGTATATTTTAATTAAAATTAAAGAAGTTCAACAGAAAAGATTCAGTGTTTTAAGGTTGTTTATTTTCTGCTACAAATATTTGACAAATTGAAATATTTTTACATTATAATAAAGACGGATTATTGTTGTCGTATTTAACCTGAAATAAAACATTGTTCATTGTTCAATGTTTATAATAATAACTATTATTGACTCCAGGTACATGTACAGCTCGTTTACTTTTTTAAAAAAGAGAAGAGACAATAAAATCTAAGAAAAAATACAGTGTAATGAACAACTTTCTCTAGGTATGTGAAAGAAAAAGAAAGAAATAGAAGAAAGCAGAACTGTAAAAATTATGCAGGGTTCGTTTGCCAGCAAAATCTAATAACAGTCCATTATTTTAAGCTTGAGTACACAAAGCTTGCACTCAGTTAAACTCATCCCAAAATCTTCATCTTAAGTTGTGGCAACTTATTGTAGGTACCAATTCTCAGAATGATAAACTATTCAATCATAGGATGGCAAGTAGTGTTTTCATAACTTCAACACTGAGCCTGTTTGCTTAGACTGGCAAATCAAAATTCTAGAGGTGAAGGACTCCTTTACTTCTTCTTTCCATTTGATTTCTTGTTCCCTGTTGGTTTAGCAAAGAATGAAGGATCCAGCTGGTCCAGAGGAACACCTTTGGTAGCAAACAGCCGCTGAGCTCTTTGCTGTAATGTCCCACCACATTTGAGCCCCCTTGTCATCAGCTCCTCCTTAAGACATTGCATTCCTACTGATTCAAGTTGCTCTGCTGAAGTGTAGTCATCCAGACAAAACTCAACCTACAAGAAGAAAAGTTACTTCACTGTTCCTATGTTTCCTCCTGGTATCATGCAATATAATTATAGTATATAATAGCAGGGTTGTCAGAAAGTTTTGAAGTAGATGGCTGAGTAGTCAAAGTAAGCGGCTAGTCCAGGGATATTTTATTTAAAAAACGCCATCCATAAAGAAATGCCAAGCAGAGTAGCTGGCCAATACTAACCAAATAGGCGGGAATTTTCAACAGCAGCTGGCTACTTTTGACAACCCTGATGACAGTCATACATAAAATCAATCCTGGGTTACAACACACCGTTTTCCTTTCTTGCTTGCCATTTTCATGATAATGTATTACACTCAGAATAATATTTTAGTGTGAACTACAACATGTTACACTTTTACTTCACTCACCTTTTCTGCAGGCTGTATGTCGGGAACCTTGTCCTTTTCACTAACTCTATCTTCTCTTGGCCCTCCTTCTTGGTTTATTTTTCCTAGCGGTGAATCAGAGTCTTTTTCCTGGAAATCTTTTGTTTGATCTTTGGTTTCTACTTCCAGCTCATTCTCTCCCACAATTTCCTCTGCTCCAGTCTCCATGCAATGTCTGATTTCAAAATTGTTATATGATGTTGAGGGTTCAACATGGGTGCTGGTACATGATGTCGCAGTTGAAGTACACAATGCAGGAATATCTTTACTTTCATCTCTTGAAGTAACTAACACTTCATCATCTTCATCGCTGTCAAGATCATCCATTCCTAACCTGGACAAAAACATGACAAAAAACTGTTCTTCTAAAGTTTCAATAAATGACAGAAACTTTAAAAGTGGTTTGGTACCTATGAATGTGAACAATGACAGTCACAGCTATTGGGTGTACTTTTTACTGCAGTTTTACAAGCAGTTGCAAAAAGGTTTATAGTAATATAGTCTTAAGATTTTGGTTCAAAACAAACAGTTAACATTTTATTAGCATCCCTGAGTACCAACAAAAAAGGTTTCCCTGTTATTGTCATACAACTTATTGAGAGAGGCACCAATTGGGTGGTATAGCTGTACTAAGTCAGTCAACAACAAAAAAAAAATGCACTTAGTCAGTAAGAAGCAAAAAATTGTTTAGTCCTGTAAACATTATGGTAGTTTTTAGAAGGGGAGTGTTCCAAATCACTAACACCTCGCAGCCTCCCAAGTGCTCTCCCACTTTCCCAGCTGGCCATATTACTGAACACTTCATCAAATCACTTTAATGGGGTTGTCACTAAGATTTCAGGTCTACTTAATTAGGTTCTATTTCCCTTTTGTTTCCTATGGAAGTAGCTGGAGGTAATGCTCATAGAAGCAGGGCTGTCATTTGTAGCCAGTAGCCGCCTTTTTTAGTAGGCTACTGTAGTAAAATCAACCGGCCACTCAAAGTTTCTAAATAAGTCAAGCATTACAAACATAGAAGACTTTAAGCGATAAATAACCTGTTACTTTTCGCAAGAGCCTGGCTACTTACATTATTAAATCTTAATGACAACACTGTAGAAGCTGGGAAAAATCCCTGGTCCCAAGCTCTTAGTGATTGCCCTGGTGTAAACGACATTTTTTCTTGCAAACCTAACCTAACCACCAGCCTGTCATACAACAATAATTACTGCACTGTTACACAAGCTGGCCATTCTACCAAAAATTCCAAAGAAGATCTTACATATGAGCATTGAGAAAAAAGACTTTTTTGTAAACAGAGATGGGATAGTTAAAAATAATAAAGTGTCTAGTAAATTTATTGTCAATGCTTTTAGGCAGACAAAGATTGTAAAAGATACATGAATGGAAACTCACAACATCCTGCTTTTCTTGCTTCCACTTGAAGTTGACGGTTCATCAGCAAGGACACGTTTGACTGCTGTTCTCTCTGAGGATGTTGAAGTGCTTGTTGATGCTGAACTTCCTGCAGCTTTAAGACCTGTGCAAATAGTTTACTCACTTTGTCATTTTTGTTATTATTTTGCCCAAACACAAAAAAAAAACAGAAAGCCCTGTTCCAGGGCTCTTTGACAAGGGTGTGCTCTAAGAAAACTCAAAGGGAGCCCAGTGCCTTGAACCTGTGAAATCCAGGGTGCTCAGCTTGATATTTCTATGGAAAAACTAACATCTTCTAGTCGCCTGGGGCCACAGCCTTGCTTTGAGAATCAGCAGAACAAGAAGAGACAGATAGAAGAATTGATGGGTGGACGGAAGGAATGGATGGGTATTGATTCTGATCGTTACCAAGGGGCAGTAACATACAGGCTGTTGGTGGTTCCCAAAAGACAATTTTTTATTGATAAAGGATAGAGAACAACAGCTGCAGCAAATGTGAAAATATGAAAATGTTTTACCTTGCTGCAAGGCATCTTCAATTCGTTCACAAGTTTCCTGGATGTGTTGTGTATACGTTGCATCATCAAATGTATGTTTAGGCGTTTGTCTCTTTCTCTCCATCCGCAGTTGTTTTTGTCTTTCTTTTTCACGCTCCCTCTCAGCTTGTTTAGAAACCCACTCAGCTATTCTAAAAGATATAAAGATCAAAGAAAAAATTCCCTGAGCAAAAGATCATGAAAAACATCTCTTACAAGTCCAAGCCAAAGGGAGAGTAAAAATATTGAAGAATCCTATCCAAATCCCAGAAAAGAAACCAATCCCCAAAAGTAACGACTCCCACAAAAGTCTCCTCATACTATTAAAAAGTAACAGGGGGTTTTACTCTCAATATAAACACGTAAAAACAATAAAACAATAAAAAGTTTGGTCAGTTGTCATGAACTCCCAAAAGAAAGAAAGTGGTCACAAATACTAAAGGTAACAAGATCAATGTTTTCTCAGTCGCCATTTCTGGCTACAGTGGGAAGCAACATACTGTTATGGTAGTATGATATGTGTAGAGACCTTTGTTTAAATTTAAAAAAATCAGCTGAAAGATTTCATGGCTGTGCTCTAAGGAAAAGTGCACTGAAACTGTAAAATATAGGGTGCCCAGCATATGATCTGTACGAAAAATCTGAGATTTTCTAGTCGCCTGAGGGCAAAAGTTAGACGCCAGGGCCACTGGGCTCTGGATTCCTACTTTTTCTCATCGTTGATATCCCTCATTCGTCTCCCACTCAAGTCCCTGCAAGCTTCTCTGTTTGTTGTCTTCTCTATCTGTGCACCAAGTGCCCGCAGCATGGATCCGAACCCTCCTTTCCCACCAGGGAGATGCAGAGCTGTGTAACAAACATCTCCAGCTTGAAGGTGAACTTTACTGCTATCTGCGATGACATGGCCATTGTGAATGACAAACAGTTTTTCCACTGGTATGCCCTACCATTTAATAAGTAAATAACTATTATTTTATAGACAAGTCACATTAAAGTCATCTTGACCAAACAATGATCATAAAGTTACCGTCAAACACCACTTTATAGACACCCACTTAATATGGACACTTCACTATTATGGACAGTTTGCTTTGTCACTGTTACATTTTTCTAAATCCAACCCACTTAATAAGGACACCCCATTAAAAAGGACACTTTCTATGGCCTTCTCAGTGTCTTTATTATTGTGGTTTGACTGTATGTCGTCAAAAGCTGTGGACCCATACAGCTGCACAGGCACTGTCTTGTTACTCTTCCTCCTATTTTCAGCCTCAGAGAAAAAGAAGTACACTTTATTTAACATGTGTTATGTGTATTTCTTTAAAACGTGTTTCTAGGTTAAGAGGCAGTGTATCTGATCTGTCAGAGCTCAAATTACCTCAGGGGTTTGGGTGAGATGACTTTCTGGTGACTTGACCAGTGACATTACTTTGTAAACTTTACCACAAAAGTGTAAAAATAATTTATCATCGGCCAGCTACAAGGGTTGCAGTTGGTTTTGAGTGGATGAAAATGAATGTAATAACACTTCATCAGAAACAACTAATAGATAAAATTTTTAATACATATATTTTTCTAGGATATTTCAAGATTATGCTTCGGACGTATATGCTTAAATAGAAGACAGCAACAGTTTGCTGAATCATTTAGTAAAATCTGGCTAAACGCTATTACTTTATGCTGAAGTCCACAGCTACCTTATAATTTTTGATGTCAATTTAAAAGGTTTAACACTTTAACAAAGATTGTTGTGATATCTGAAGACTTGCATACACAAAGATCAATATTTTTGGTGGACAAAAACCTTGTACCAGAAAAATTTAAAGAATATTGCATTGTTTTTTTTCCATTTTTCAAGGGCTAACGATGTAATTTGTCATCTGTAATAATAACACCAAAGAAAATTTATCATGGGAGTCCGAGAAAATTAATGTCAAAATTCACATGCAAGATTTGTGAAAACACAGGTAAAATTCTAAAAATTTCATGTGTAAGATGTCATTTTGTGAAATTTGACATTAATTTTCTCGGGCTCCCATGGGAAAATTAATTTAGTTTGGGGTTACTACAGATGACTAATTACATCTTTAGCCCTTGAAAAATGTGAAAAAGAATGCAATATGCTTTAAATCATTCTGGTACAAGGCTTTTGTCCATTAAAATTAATATTTCTCAATTTCCTGATGGATTCAGTCTTAAAGCATAAGCTTAACTCCGTGCACCTCCGTAATAATGGAAACAGAATTTGATGTTTTTTTATTGCATTTCGGCAAGAGATTATGGACAAAGATTGAATAAGACTTACCCCACAACATTCAGATGCAATCTGTTTCAATTGCCGTCCATTTTGAACCTCATAATCATCAACATTCAAGCAAAAGAGCTCCCGATGTAGTGCGTACAAGAAGGCAGACATCTTGGGTTGTTG